GCCAAACCACTTCAACACAACCATATAACCAGAAAATCATTAATACGCTCTTACTTTTCTTACTAAGAGTTCCCTCATTATGAAAGCTCTCCAAGCCCAAGTGACCACAGCTCAATCAGTGAATAGCCTTAAAGGGAGCCCCGCTGAACGTGTACTAACCCACAGATTAACTTCTTTTTTGAACCAGCCGTGTCTGTTGCACGTCCCATAAACTATGGCGGTTATCATTACTGGAAATCAGTAAGTACTTCCCATGTCTCTTATTATCATATCCGTCCACCTCTTATTATTTTATTTGCATCTTCGTGTATACTATCAACCAATCAATTAATCAACCTGCTGCTCGGTAATGCGATAACTACTTGTATCTGGAAGCCCTACTGACCTGAGACCAACGCGCTCACTCAGCTACAAGATATACAAATCCACAAACAACTACCAAACTGACTAAAACTAGTGTAATCTAGTGTCTAGACCACCACCCATTGGATATTTTCATATACTTAGAGCTGTACCGAAACAGCAAGAAGGGAGCGCAAAGAAGTCACTCGGATAATATAAGCTCGTGATAAAGATATTGGATACAGATGGGCTTTTAATTACCAATAATCTCTGCCGTGATGAAAATACGAGAAGCAATTCATTGAAGAACTACAAACCAGTAAACAAATGTGAGCACAAGTTTGGTAAATGTTTATCATGTGGTACAGTTCGTTCACGTAATTCACGTGCATTTTGTCTTGTTATATGCTTCAAAAGTAGTAAAATCTGCTTGTGAGACTATTGCTCATTTTGCCACTAGTTAAGGTAAACCTTATAATCAGATTTCATTAAGTTGGGTATTTCTAATGGATATTTATCTGCATCCAAAACTCCGAAACATAATTCCCACACTCGGGAGTGATTTTATACTGTTCTTGATTCATTCCATATCTTTATTGTCGACATAGAAGGTATTGAGTCCATCATTTCATTCAAGAACATAACGCCTTCAAATTCTGACGTGATACAACCTACTGAAGCTTCAGTATTTAGGATTACTGGGAAAAACTCTGCCTGTACGATGATGCTATGAATCGCTGTTTTGAGATGATCGTTCATCAAACATGGCTTATGAGTATTAGTTAGTGAAACAGAATCGTCAATAAGAGGTTTGAAAAATTTTAAAAGCCTTGAAGTGTAGTTGACTTTATCAGATTCCAAATACGATTCTGATCCTTTACTTAAATGTTTGATAGTCACAATTGCTAGGTGCAGTGCAGAGATGAGAATTCAGCCGATAAAACCCCAAGTACAAAGCGATCCAATCTTTCTTAAAGGACAAACTATTCCTTGTGGTCTTTAAATAGCAGTACTTAAGATATTGAATGATTTGCTTGTGAAAAGAATGATTGGACCGATTCAGTCCTTATCGTTGGAGACTCCTATTGTTACTCCCTTGAAGTCTGGTGGCAAGACCCCTAGAACATGTGAAGGTTTCAGGTTAACACCGAGATTCCGTTTACTGAATTAGGCATTCACGACGGTGGAAGCTGAAGATACTTAATCGACTTCATGGTTCTAAGGTATTCATAGAAGTTGTTTTGAAAGTTGCTTACCTTCAAATTCCCTTTGATCAACCCTCATCTCTTTTTACATGAATTAATTCTCCTCTTTGTTTTTAAAAAATACAAATTCCTTCCATTTGGTCTATGTTGTTCTCCAGCCATATTTCAGGAAGTCATGAATAATCTAGTCAGTGATTTTAAAGGTGTTCAAGTTTATCAATATGATCTCATTACTCGTAGTTCTGATAAAGTAGCTCATGATCAAAGACTTATTGATTCATCGCATCGTTTAATCAAGAAGAATATTGCTGTGAATCCGAATAAGTGTTCATTTTGTGTATTTAATTTTGAATATCGTAGATACTTAATCGATAGTAATGGTTTTAAACCAGATATTAAGCAGCTAGCTTCACTAAAAAATGCACCATCTCCAAAAAATCTTACAGACCTACGTTCGTCAGTGAGTGCTTGTGATAATTAGAAGTACTCAGACTGATTCGTTAACCAAGAATTCCCTAAATAATGCAATTTAAGGCAGGTAGAACTAGTTGAGCACAACTGAAAGTATTAAATTTGGAATTCTTAAGCAGGCAATCAAATACAAACGAATCATCAGTTGCTACAATACCACAGGGCAGTGGACCAATAAACTGTATTGCACTCGAACTTACTGTTGCTTAACAAAGTTATTTAAAACTCAGCGCAAGACACCAGCTGTTATCTGGAGTGTTAAATAACTTCATAATTATTTATTTAGGAATAAATTTACTGTTGTTACAGATAATGAAGCATGAAAGCTCATTTATCGTCCTAAAAAAGTCCTTACCATGTTCCTCAGTTTCTTCGGTTTGACGATGGAGTATTGCTCCAAATGCCTATGACTATACGATTCAGCACAGAGGTGCCAAACAAATTCAGTATGTTGACTACATATCTCGACAGTTGTAGTGAACGAAAACTCGAGTAAGGGAACCAATTTACTGTTTTATGTAAAATTGCAGAATGCCTTCGTATAGAATGAAAATCATACAGTAAATACATCACTTACACGACTTCTTTGCGTTGATCTTTACATACTCCATTGTTCCTCGAGTTCTGTTGTTAGTTTGACTGCTCTCCGATTTCCTTCCTGTTCTCTTGACTTCAGTCTTATGCTGCCAAATTCCACTTCCGACTGCTGCTACATAATGCTTATACCTGTCAGCACAAGTAGCATGCACCACATAGTCATTAAAAAATACGCCTGTTAATACTACAGATTGTTTATTACTACACCCTCTACCGGTCAGCCATCCAGATTTCACTAGGGAAACTCGTCGTTATTTTGAATGTTTACTCATTGCCATATGAAAAGGTTGGGAAGCTAAACTGAAACTTAGATTTCCTGCCTATATTTCACAAGTGGGATAAATTATCCACTGTCCCTGATATGACGTCCAACAGAAGTGATGTTTGGATAATGTATCTCTTCTTTTACTATTGGCGATTTTCGTAGACCGACTGACTGTTTAAGAACTCTGTTCGGAAAACCAGTTGGGAGGTTTGAACAGTGTATTATTCCACTTTATGCTCAATATCGGTTCGAAATGATTTTATCAACTGATTTTAAACAGCTACCCTAAATTTGTTAATATATGCAAATTATCTAACTGTCCGGTTCGTCAAATTTTTAAAATCATCAGTTTGATGGATATTTATATCGTTTATAAGTGTCGAAGGTATTAAATCGTAAACTCAGCATATTATTAAGATTATAATAGTTGCAACATAATTTTTCAAACAATCACAAACTTTCAGAGAGTCGGCTGTAACATAGGACCAGGGACATATATGCATCGGTCCAAGTTACCATAGCTCATTATCACAGCAAGATGAACACTGGATTCATAGAAGTAGTTAATTCAGCGGTGGCAATATATAAAAGAAAGATTGCATAGTATAGGAAGAAAAAATTAGTTTTCATCTCATAGTTTAAATGAAGACAAAGAGTGTATACATCATCGCCATTGTGATCAATTCAGAGCCATGTCACCCAGAGTCTCCAACCATAGATTACGATAGTTACACGGACCCCAACCAAGTAGTCTGCATCTACCAACATGGCTAAGCCTAGAAGTTAGTGACTTCAAGCACTGAGGCCATGTTTTGGTTAGGACGCCCAAACTTTCTGCCAACCATCTCCAACACCGGTTAGCATCGCACGTCGTGGTAATCAGTGTTTGGGCATACGTAACACGTGGCCCAACCATCTCAGTCGATGAAGATTCACAACCTCATCAACTGATTTACCATCATTCCATAATATCCTGCGTCTAACCTCACTATTACTTACCCGGTGATCCCAGCAGATACAAGCAATATTTCTAAGATATCTGTGGTCAAATACTAGTAGCGTACGAGTATCTTCTACTCTTAATGGCCACGATTCGCAGCCGTTAGTTAGAACAGAACGAACTGCCGTGCAATATACTCGTCCTTTAATTGATAGACTTGTAGTGACTCACGTTAATCACGAGAACACGACTGGTTTAATAAAAACGCTTATTATTATAACCAAGTGTACCAGTGACTGTTTTAATGTGCTTTTGTTTGACTGTGCTAATGACAGCTATTTTGTGCTTCCATTCTTTTACTTACACTTTGATTGTAACTTCGCACGGATTCGGTTACGTTCTGTAACCAAGCTTGTATCCTGGCACGATCTCGGTATCCTTTTGATGCCACGAGATCGCCAGCAAATAAACCTCGACTTGGTCCATTAATTGCCTTCTGGTATTCGGCTTCTCGGGGATTTTATGGAGTCATTTGGAACGAGCTTCTTACGCCTTCTGATCTATTTGGCACGTGTTTCTTTGTAGCGGTGTTCATAGTTAATCTCAACTCGACGCCACGCTTCTGACTGGTATCTCACCTTCGCCATAGGCGACGTAAGTTTGCGAAAGCCAAACGAGCTTTTCGAATCTGTGCAGAGGTTTCGTCAGACACCAACCCACTAGGACTGATCAGATTTCCAAGATAAGTGAAGTTGTCAACGCGTTCGACTACTTCACTCCCTATACTTAGTTCAGGTGTTGATGCAAGCCATTACTGGAGCAACAACTTTCAGAAAAATGTTTATAAATATACTCGTACTTGATTGATCATGATATTTATTAATTTAAATTAGTATTATCGTATAAACAATTGTTATACCGTATAGAAATACAAAAATTACACTACTATGGCTTATGCATGAAAAACTGAAACGTAACTTTGTGTATGTTAGTGGGTGTGAAGAATGTAATATTTGTAATATTAATAAATCCTTCAGTTTGTGTGTCTATCACTAAGTAGTGCTAATTAACACATGATATCGTAAAGTAAGTAACTGCTATTTAAAAGACTGTGTTTGTCGAACTTTTATTCAAAAGGGCGTTGTTGTCGCGCATCAAATAAGTTATTCACTAAGGATCATCATTGTACTGGTTTTTCCCTCTTCAAAGTAAACTATTATATACGGATAAAAAAATTGACAGAATTAATGGTATAGTTCTACTTTAAACAGACTCATAATCAATTTATTGTCTTTTAGTTAACTGAAATTCCTTAATTACGTGGACTTTGCGACGACAGAATGATTACCATTATTTTATTAAAAGTCTGATGATACGAGTTAAAACTTTTATGGTTTTAACTAAAAAAAATTGTACTAATTCGGAGTTTTCAAAGTTTAAATTCTTAAATTTTTCGAAAATATATATCCCCCAATATTCAGTGATAATCAAAGTAATAACTGTCTTTGGAATAATCTCAGTGACATTTTACACTGAATGCTTGTCCATACATTTTTAAACTTAAATTTCGTGCAAAATCAAAATGTTAAACGAGCTGGACCAGATGAACTATTTAAACAGTCTAACAGGGTTTATATCTGTAAGTAATTTCAATTGACATCAAAAGACGTTATCCTACTATTTGTTGTCAGTGCATACGTCTATATAATAGCTTCATTATGTGTATTTTCACTTTGGTAATAGGTAAAACGTTTATGTCAATATCTAAAGTATACATTTCTTCACAGAATTCCTAATACTAATAATAATACACAAGTACATACGTCTCATATGTGATATCTCGTTAACATACTACATCAAATGACTTTCATTCACACCGAACACAAGATTAACTGTTCAACGTGTTTAGATGACCGTTCAGTATTGACTTACTTTAAAATCCATTTATCAATAAAAAATTAGACCACTAATATTCTAACTTTTCCTGAAAATTAGTTCAACAAAACTGATTGTCTCTATTCACCAATAATTAAAGTTTGGTCATGTAGAAAATTCATTTCCCCAAATTGTTGAACAGACCAAGAATTTTCTATACAGCTACAGTACGAATCATCCAACGAAAATCACCCATTCTCCATAGGACTCAATTAATCATATTACAGTAAAAAGGCTGGGTGTAGACTAGGCAATGGCTATAAAGTTCAGTTAAATCACATAATCAGAAATTGAGCTTAGCTTGACAATGAAAATCATAAGTACAGCAAACCAAGACTTTGATTTTCTTAAGTATGTCAAACTGCATTATTTTTGTTCAGTAAATAACTGAAAATACAAAAAAACAGCTGCTCAATATTAATAATACTTGTTTCGACACGTTTCTTTAGTTTATGGGCTTCATTTGACATAACGTCCACTTAATCCAGTAGTTTATCTTCAGACATCAAAATCTGATGTTTATTCGTGAGTTATATTTGCATTAAGAATTTTGAGAATAATGTTAATGTGTCTTACATCACTAAGAATACGAACATGCTCCGCTCCAGGTAATATGTAATATTTAATTCCAGGCCAATTTTTGCAGTATTCTAAGCTTCGTATGCCGACTGTCCCATCTCCGTCACCAGGAATTAATAAGGGTACTTGATCTGGGAAACCACTATAAAAATAACTGGGTGCAGAATAGGAAATTTTTTCGGTAGTGGATAAACGTGAACCATGAATACAATAAATATCATCAATACCAGTAGGCATTTCCAGTCCATCAACAAGGGAGTGAGTATCTTTCCACATTTGGTAGCCTAGAAGTTCATTATGAACGAATAGGATAGAAACCAAAATACGGAATTAGAAAAATAGATGTAAAGATGACGTAGTGTGAAGCTTTTAATAGTTTAAACATTTTCTTCAGTATCCACTTTTAAAAGAGACCTTTTAATACTTCAAAGTAGGTTTGTTAGAACTATTTAAAACTATTCATGGATATTCTGAAAACTGAGGCAACAAAGTCTGAGTTCGAAATAATTTCTATCTATGAATATAACATCATGAAGTCGACTGGGAAACGCTTTTCATGATTATGGATAAACTGTGAATTCATAATGGTTTTGCTCTTAATTTTCACGTGATTTGTAAGTTATGGTTTGTAGATATAGTAGCTAGTGTTGTTTTGATAAAATATGTGTAACAAAAATAACTACCAAATTAAGGTAGTAACAAGTGAAAAGAGAAAAGATAGTCACATACCAATCGTGTAATTTATATCTTTGAAGAAACGCTCGTAATCAGCTGAGCTATAGTTTGTTGTAGGTGTGATAATAAGTGGCTCCGATGATGGCCATAAACGAGAATCAGGAAATAAGAAAGGAAGAGATGGCATAGAACGTTGAACGTGTCGAAAACTTAATGGACTACGCAGAAATACCCCAAAGTTATCACCTGGATTATTAGAGAGAACAAAAGAAGTTGAGCATAACCTATGAGGCAATGCAAGACTAATATTTCAATCAAAAAACAACTAGAGAATAACGTGAAAATTGCAAAGCATTGTCTATCCATCTTAATGAATCATCTCTGTAGTAGTATTATTACCGCAGTTGAATAATACCCTTTTATATGAATAAGTTTTTATAAAATATTAAGATGTTTACATAGTGAATGTCATATAATTTGAACATTATACGAAAATTTGAAGTGACATGATAATCACAACAACGAATTGTTTCACTATTTATTTCTCACACTCCATTACGATCTCTGCTTTTTTGTTGACTCGGAGTTAATCTCCAGTTTTTTTAATTGAAGTGTAATTGACATTTGATGTATATAGTTTTTCATCGTAAACGTATTATCTTATTAGAGATAATGCTGTATTTTATACTATAATATCTCAGATTATCGTTAAAATGAGCTATTCGGTAAAGTAATTCACAGGTGATCAGCCTAAAAAATAACCATATCATGCTTATAAAACATTTGCCGATAAACTTTCGACAAATATGAAATATTGTTTTTTGTAGTTTATGAATAGATATATGACAGTAATATGTAGACATTTGTATTTACTTACGTGCCACTAAATATAATGAAAGGTGAGGAACTCATTGAATACCGTGATTTCATGACTTTTAGTTTGAAATGCCAAGATTTTCTGTAAAGACTTCACAATCTTGATTAGTGTAAAACATGAAATCACTTAATATCATGGTCGTTTAACCAATTAATCTTTGGGATTAAAATGGGTTTCAGCCTTATCACATACACATATTCACCAAACCTGATATCTGTCTATTCAATTGAGATTTGAAATTAAAACACAACTAAATTATTATATTTATTTTGTCATTAGAGGATTTGTAGCTGCGCGTAACTGGAGTAATTATACTTTGCTCTTGAGTAAACGATATCGTAAAGAATACTAGTAGTAAAACAAACTCAAATCCACTAGGTATTTGTGATTTTTGTCAACATTATCAAAGTTTACACTAACTATGTATGAATAACCATGTATATTTTCATTTATTACAAGTATAAACAATTTCTGGAAGTCATTGTAAAAATGAAATACACAGGGAAAGGAGTCTCAAATCAAATAACCTAATGATAAAAACTTATTGGGTGAAGGATATTTAAGTTCAATTGAGGATTTTAATTTTTTCAAGATTTTAAACATATCTAACAGCTGATTCAATAAAACATAGATTTAGAGCTTAATGATGTACATGTCAGAATGAATTCTTTTTAAGTAAATTAATAAACAACTAGGTATTCAGTTTGTATTGTGTCTGAATGTAGTTTTACAATGCATCAATTTGATATATATTTAACTTCTTAATAAAATCTATTTAGCCGTCTGAATAAAGAAGAAATGACCGAAAAATCGTTTATCTCTAGTTAGGGTAAAGTATTATTTCATAGTTTTCATGTTCATGTATATTTCAGGTTACAAATTTTAATATTTCTGAATAATGATATAATAGAAAGTAAGTTATACTCATGTGCCTTTTTCATATATAACTTATCCATGAGTGTACGATAGAAGATTATTAACCCAGCATATATATGTATTTTAATTATTCACTTTCCAAACTTATAATTTAAGTCTCTATTTAAGAGTATCATTTCTTAGAAATGAACATTACTGTTTAGTGAAACACGCGTTCCCTTCAGTAGTATTTAAAAGTTTTAACTTTAGCCTATTTTTACCCATGAAGCTGATATATAACTGAGTAGTAGGTCAAACTTAAATGAATTTAAGGCCTTAACAAGATCTCCAATACTTGTCTAAATAATAATCTTTTTTTTACTAGAACGCCAGCATTTTATAATTCATCAATAAAACATGGTTATCATTTATCCAGTATACTAAACAATGGCTTGATACTCACCAAAAGCTAAACTCCCCAAATTTATTGACTAAACTAAAAATTTATTTACAACAAATAATTAGTTAGTTACTTTGTGTTTTATGGATATTACTGACTTTTGGGAGTTTCTGTGTGAATATTAATGAGTGTAATCTTTCTGTTTCGGGAGTTGTTATAAATATGGTTAAATCCGATTATTTCATAGCCAGACTAATTACTTAAACAATTCGCTGTCAGCATCAATTTTTAAAACGTACTTACCACTAGCTTCAATCTTCACTGTTTTCACAGAACCCCCGAATGGACAGCTGGAAAACACCAGAGATTTTATATACTTCTTTTTCCATGGAATATCGCATTTTTTCAAAAACCACTGAGCAAATAAGCATCCCATACTATGTGGTAGTAGGACAACGGGTCTTTGTTTTGCATTTTCATACGTTTCCTCAATCAAGGCTTTTAATTTATTGAAAAATTCACCGTTTTCATCTAAAACGTTAAGTGTGTAAAACTTTTCTATAAAAATATGTCTTACTTGGGGCTTTTCTAAAATCATATGGTGCGCCTCTCATTGTAAAATTTGATACATAAAACGGATCTTTTCTTAGAGCATTAACTAATGAACCAAAATATTCAGAAAACATATTTGGTCTTTCATCTAGATTCTCAATTGACCATGTTTCACCCCATCCTGGAAAAATAATGTCAACACCTTCAGCATCATAACTGTGACCAGTTTTTGGATCATACTGTAATCTAGAATAGAGTTATTTTATAATTTCCAGATTTTGTATGACACAAAAAATAGACATTTAACTAACTTAAAATACTCAGTAAAATGTTTTATAAATGCAAAAAATTCCAAATTTAACCATACAGGTAGCGCTTTATGATTGGGATCATTCTTCAGCACGGCAAAAGCTTGGCACCCAGCTGTTCCGGGGATCATCACTAATGGATATTGTCCATCGGATGTTGACTCAGAGTTAACTTCCCAGGTAATCAAACTAAAAGTAAAAATTAAAAACTATTATGTTTATTTGTGTACATTGAAACAGTTTCAAAGACACCTACTAAATTTAATTGTAAGTTAAGCTTATGCATTTGTACGATAATATTTAAATAAGTGGCGGGTATATATATATATATATATATATATCACCGTCTCAAGTATTTCAGTGATAAAATAAATCACAGCTTAGAAGTAATCGTTTACATCTTATATATTAGCACCTAATTATTTAAGAACTTTGATACTTGTCTTTTTAAAACATGATTTCTTTGATACAGTGTTCTCTGTTAACTAAATCAAATGACTATTTCACAAGGTTAAACCTTAAAATACAATAAAAATCTAGTTGTGATATTTTTTGATTTCAGAGATAAACTTTAGCACTGTTTCGATAACAATAATCATTTTTAATAATAACTTAATTTGTATCAGAATTATATAGAAAAATTTTGAAAGAGTAGTTTATAGTTCAATTTAAGTGATTAGCAAACAGAACAATAACAGATCAAAGTTAGCAAGTTAGCAAGAACTGAATTGTTATTAAATATTCTCACTTATAACATTGAATATAAATGTAGTTACTTACTTACTTACGCCTGTTACTCCTAATGGAGCATGGGCCGCCGACCAGCATTCTCCAACCCACTCTGTCCTCCACCGAGAGTCCCTCCGGGGGCTACTGCCGGTCCCAAGCCCGGATAAAGGAGGAGGGTTGGGGATGGAGTTAGCGACCCCATCCCGTAGAAAACTAACTCGCTAAAAAACGCTAACAACAATATGTGTTTGTTATTAATAGCCTTTGTGTTGAGTTGTTTTCCTTTGACGTAGTTTGTCTGAATGATAACTAACTATATAGATATAATAATTTTGTTCTGGTTAACTTAAAAAAGTCTCTTTCATGTGCTCATATGAAGGAACTCCAGAAATCTGGGCAGCTATCCAACCAAAATGTCGTTATTACGATAGGAAGGCTATTGTGATTAACCAATTTGGAAGACAGTTTTCATAATTGACTAACTTTATCTTAAAAATCATTTACTCACCAGGTTTCACACCTAGAACCTCCAGATGCCCCGTTTAAAATGTTATTTATAAACGACCAATCTAGTGCCCGATGGTTCACCTTTCCAATCTCAGTTGGTTAGAGATATAACACGGTCGTCATCCATTGCCGTCGGTTGTATGTATTCAGAAAATAAAGTGAAGATTGTTTATACGCATGTAGCTAACTTTTATTTTGCAAAAAGTAGTTAGTGGATGATAAACGTTTAATTAATGAATTTGAATGAGTTTAAGTTAGGTCATAAGAATTAAATCATAAGTATGCAGTGATCATTTTCTCGATAAATCTCAATATTAGTGGTTATCGTATCTTGATCAAACTAGGATGAAATTCATTCTCACTGAACTTATTGAGTTCACCGACGTCTCATTGCTAAAACACTTGAACTCGAGTATGAATAATGCAAGCTAGAAAGTTAACTGCCACAATACAAATCGACTTCAGACCAGTCACACAGTAACACCTGATTTCAATGTTCAATTTTGTAAATCTGTTTAAGAAACAAATGTATGGATCAGCCACTTGAAATTATTACGTTTTCGAAGTGTGAACTAATTTTCTGTATTCTAATCAATAGTTGAGCCATTCTGTTTACCTCCAGAAAATCTATTCAGTTCTCTTTGTTTATCTATTCATTTACTGATCTACTCTCATAAATTTGACACATTTTATTGAACTATGCATCCACTGTAACAGATCGTGAGCAGATTATTGGTGCTAATCAAATTCAGTGAGAGACAAATCGATATGTAATCACCAAAATGTGATCATGCATGTCATAGACATGGAAATAACTCGGAGAAATAAATGACGGAGGGAGAGAGATAGAGATAAGAAATGCTAAACCACATGTTTACGGATAGTTTGCGTTATGTACAAGGTGTTATCTGTTTAATAAAATCAGAAGACCACATGAAATTCCAATTCGAGTTATGTAGTTGTTGATTTCTAATGAATTTTCTATCTGTTTTTTCCCAATTGAAAATTAACCTTCATTGAAGCAACAGTGAAAGCATAGAAACTGAAAGTATGTCGACATAGTGAGTTGTGGAATCTGTCGAATTATTAGCCTCACATAATGGATTGGCTTCGGTTAGACAATCGGTCGATACCTGAGAGCCTTGAACTGTTGTTTTGTCATGGTCTGGGATAAGAAATCTCGTGCTGTCACAGTTGATCGACTGAAGTACCATGAAGTGACTAAGTGACCACAGCTCGTGAAAATCTAGTTGATGGTGTAAGCTCCTCTCCCAAACTAACTAGAAACAAAAATATAGCTGGTTGACAAAATAGTTTGTTTTTGCTTGACAAAATAACCTGTATGTAAGAAGAAAATACGACGAAATGGAGAAGATTGGAACTCACAGATTTTTTGACCGATTAGGATGCAATGGTGTCTGGAGCTCTTTGGATATCCAATAAATATATCTTTCCGAGTTCCAGATGATTTATATCTCTTTTAAACAGTCCATTAAACTCGCGAATTTTCTGTTTATAATATGTTTAAGGATAAATAAAGCAAAACACACAAAGCTTTCGATGAACACGGTATCATTTTCTTACAATGATTGACATTTTAGCTATTGGAAAGACTATCCTTAGTAAACTAAAAACTAGTCAAACAATAATTGCACGGTGGTTTCAAGCATCCTTTATTTAATGTGTTTTTTAACTCACACATATACTGTTATTTTGTACTCAAATTCAGTCTTTACGATTGGTTATTTTCCGGCACCCGTACTAATGTAACATTATGTTTATGAAGAGAGTTAAGCAGTAAATGGTTTCTACAACTGGGCTGTCAAGAGATATAAATTGAATATTTTTTGTCAACTAAAATAGCCACATTATTCTATCAGTTAACTGTTGATCAGTCACATCATGGTGCACTATAGAGTTTTGGTTATCCAGTGATTAAATATGACTATTTTGACATGTAACACTTATCTAATGAAAATTACTCATTAGAAAGGTTAATCAAGAAGTAATAATAGTAGTAGTGTGGTGTGTGCTACTTATATTTACATAAGTAGTAGATGGTGTTAGTCGTGAACAGAATGTCTGAACAGAATGTTTGACCTCCTGACAATGGCTGGCTAAGCTGCTGGGAAAAAGAAGTAAGACAATATTATTTGATTATTCCACGTTGCGACTTCAAGTTACTGCTAGATGAGAAATAGAGGGAAGGCTGTCTATTGCTTTGTGAAATAACCATTCTTCTTGGATGTTTATGGGATTTGCCATAGCACATCGTTTTTCACAAGCAAAAACCTTAAATGCTTACTTAGTAAACTCTTAATGGTTTATCCAATACAAAGAACCTATTAGTCAGTATAGTAGTAAGCAACGACAACAATATATCACTATCGAAAGTTTAATGATCTTCTGAAATAAGATCTAAGCAAAGATAAAGAGTGAATGCATCTGCTCCACTATTTCTAAACTCAAAGCATTATCTGAAAAATGGAAATCTATTTTCAAAAACATTTGTTTAATAATCAAGGGTAACAATAAAAAATGACAGACTAATAAATGGTAATTTCTAAAACCGTATATTTATTCATAGATGGAATTATTTCAAATTAGGATAGAAACTACAAAATGAGAAATGTTTTCAGGGTATAAAATCTATAAGACAAGTAGTTGTTGAGGCTAAAATAAAATAGGTTATGAAAAAGTAAACAACAATAGTAACTGTTATTCTTAGGAATAGAACGGAAAACTTTCCAAATAATGGGAATTATAGTCTACGTTTAAAAAAACCAGAGATCCAAATAAAATTCACAGCCATGAATTAGTTATGTTTACGTAATTTAGCTTACGCATAAAATGACAAATCATCGTTTAAGATTTGATGAACAGATTCAGATAATTGAATATTTATTGTTTGTTTTACTGCATCATTTTCAAGAAATAATAAATGATCAAGTAGAAACCCGGTAGTCACATCGGAACAATAAGATTTTAAGCCATTTAGTATTGTTAGTTCACCAGATTGATTTTTTTCCAAAATACGTTTTTGATAAAGATAGTGATATGCATTGTGAAATTCTTTTTCTCCAAGTTTGTCGATGCAGTATCTGAAATGCAAAGGATATGTTTTTAATATAGATATTACTGAATGATTTTCGATTATTTGTTAGTGTGGCATGAATAAATTATTTGAACTTAACCTTCACCATCACTTGGATGGTGGCTTAGAAGTTATTTCTTATCACGGATAAACCGAATTTCATCCCTTGTGGGGTCCCTGGGGTGCAATTCTGAGAAGCGCCAAAGTAAGATGAAACAGATATCTAGTGCTCCTCAGTTTCCATGGTTTCTTGGATGGTGTTATTAAGCCATTCACAATAAATATAGCACCTGACCTGATACAGCAAGATGAAATTAACAAGTTAAATAAAGAAGGACTTAAAGTAATAATAGTATTAATACTGTTAAGATTAAGCATAGGGAGATGGTTGGAAAAGAGAGGCAAACCTAGCAGAGTAAAGAAGTATGAAGTAGTATAGGAACTGAGGATTTATTTAATGATCAATAATCAGTGATCCCGTGGACTGATGCTATATTTTACTCTGATTGGTTCAAGTTTTCTTTCAAGCAACTTCTATCCCAAGCGGCATTGTACATCAAGATATGTATGGCCGGTCAAACGTAGCACATACTGCAGTCATATGAATCCATGGATATCACTTCCTATTGTTGACCAGTACCCTACAATTAACTTCATTATTGCTTATTCAGTGGTTATTCAATGATGAAAATTACAAAAATCGTCTTCCTCATTATTATGATAATCGTAAATGACCGTATCGAATTCTAATACTCAACCTTTATTTAAAATGTAGGATACCTTTTATTACAAGCTGAATATGTATGGAAAGATCATAATATGAAGCGTTAGAAAAATATGCCACGTTTCGGTTTAAGAAATTGCTAACACAGTCGTTGTTCAGTAAACTACAAGCTTGAGAAATATCAACCATTTGAATTTATTTACTAATTTGATTTCATCTGCTAATACGAATCAGTTGTGCTTAAAAAAAGAAGTGGGTTCGAAGATGGGTAATTAAACATTTACAAAATTAGAATTAAATGGACTCGATCCTCCTATATAAATTCGTGAATATCTGTAACTGTGGATAGTTCTAATGATTAACGTTTTGTAGGAAAGTTGTTTCGTGACATTTATATGATTGATATACAAATTTAGAAAACTTGAAACTATGGAACAGATAATTCTCTTTAGATAAATCAAACCAACAATTAACGGCATCATCGATTGCTTGGAATTAAAAAATAAAGACTTTAAAATGAATTTAGCGTTATTATTTGTTAAAGGTAAAGGACTTTTGGCATTGTTTCAAAATTATTAAAGTTTATGCAGTTATAAAAGTATAAATTATTTTAAATTTAGAACAGTAGTTTTCCAAATATTAGTTGTTTTAGTTTTCCAAAGTTTATTTATTACTTTGAATTGATTTATGTTATAATTGAAAATTGTGTTATTGTAATTATCTATTTTATACTGGATTATAATTATCAGTCTTCCTGCTTTTTTTGTCATACCGAGTATGTTTATCATAAAAATGAATTTCGATAGCAAATAGCAAGCACATTATGAGCTAATGATGAACTTATTGTATTCATTTATGAAGCCAATGAATTTTTATTGAAATAATTTTAAAAGAACAAGACTTCTTTGATGTGATTGTGAATAATACTATTAGCAACCAGTGACTAAAAACAAATTAGATAGTAAAAATACCACCCGATTATTTCTTTATTGTTTATATCCCCAGTATTTTGAAAGTGGTTTTGTTTTCTCCTTTCAAAAAATATTTCTTGCTCATAAGGAATGGATGGGATGTGGCTATGGGTCATGTTTAAGAAGCACGTTTCGTCTTATTTGGGACTCGTCAATTGAATGCACCTGCATTTGTTTCTTGGCAGTATAGGGGTTGTAGAGAGTGTTTGTCTCAATATCATTTTGGTAGATTACTCCAAAGTTTAACAATTTTAACCGATGAATATTTTATACAACAGTTTAGAATACTAAGTTTATCTCTTCTTATGATTACAAACATGGCTACACACAGCCACTTCGAGAACTGATGAAATATTTTGTAAAATAATTCAAAACTGATAAGGCACGTCAGCTTCTCTGTAAATCTTTTTATGTAATGTCATAAATTTGATGCTGCTAGCTATACAAAACACAAATTATTAAAATCAATAATAATCATTTTATCCTACAGCCAGTCAGTCACGGTAAAAGTAGAAGCTGGTACGCATGTCCGTTCGGTTAACATATAAGCATGACGAGAGAAATTTAAAAAGACGAAAAGCAAAACAATCGAAATTATACAGTATCAATGATGACAGAAAAAATCGGACACTGAGAATACAATTCCAAAAGACAGAGTGGAAAAGTATTTATGAGGGAATAGTGGAAATCGAATGCACCTGCTCCACTTTGACCGCTTCTAAGTAATATCATCCGAAGTCTTCGACTACTAATGACGGCTATCGTGTGGACCCCATTATCTACCCATGTGACTCAGATTAATAGATAGTAATTTCAGAAACTGATAACACGTTTAAGTGTGAACGCTTCCAGTTTTTTCTGATTCAAGGTAGCAGTTGGTTGAGTTTCGGCGTAACTAAATTCAAGATTGATCGTAAAAATTTTATGAAAGCGAATACACGCAGCAACCAGACTTAATAAACTCATTTAAACGATTTCAAAATATGAAAATTTATGGAAACAAATTTACGTTAGGAAATCGGTAACCCAGAGGTTTGAGCATGGCACTGCTTCATCGGTATATAAACCATTGGAGTGTTAACACTTCACGTATTAATTCACAGTTAATCAAAAGAATTAATAAGCGAAATAGTTTTAAAAAATATGAAAAATAGTTTGAAAAAAGGAATTATAGTGCTTACTTTTTTAAAGCATCAATTCTTTTGGCTTTAGCCTCTGGACTAAATATGGTCTTAGCTTCATCATTCAAGACTATTGTATTACTGTCTAAAAGATTAATATAACGTTGTACATTTACATTTAAAGAATAAAACTGTCATCATAAAAATATACCCCGATCAAATCAACAAAACGAATCCCGAAAGATTATATTTTTGCTATATGTATGATATATTTTCTAGTTACAAAAAACAATAGTGAAGCTTAGAGCCTACCAGAAACGTTTAACAGAGTCCCCTAATCAATCACTTTCACTAAGAAAAAAGAAAACTGTGACGTTTTACTGACGAAAAGAACTGGAGGGAAAATGAGAAAATATGTTTATCATAAACCGTCTAAATGAAACAGATATACACATTTTTCAGCTTTGTCCCAATACAATATAAAAGAAACTTATTCAAGTACATAGCTCACATAGCCAAAATTACTTGTCATGATGAACTCTTCAAGATGAACTAAAATTTATTCATGATTTACTGAGTAAATTCGAATCCCCGTAAAATATTTTGACGAAACAAATGTCTGGAACTAAACATGAGGTCAAATCATTGACGGTACCGAATGAAACTTTGTTCTCGAAATTACAGTTATAGAGTGATATAGCCAGAGAAATGGTCATTCGTCGAAAATAAAAAAGTGCAGGACGTAAATTCAACGCAGTTATATTATACCCTTCCTTATCGAACCGCTCAATAGTGAGTTAGCGAAATAATAATGAATTGCCTAGTTCTTCTGTTTCTATAAGTAGTTACCACTTCAAATACTCTTGCTCTTAAATGCACAACGAGACAAATGCATCATCATGTTTCTAAAAATCACCTCTCATGGTTGACCAAAAAACAAAATAAAACACTGTAAAGTTCTACCTGGTCACATTTATTTGATAAGTCATCACGTTGATAAAAATCCAGCTTTTAAAGTTATTTAGAGAGGCTCAAAGAACCTACCCTATGATTCCAGAATCTGACTCTTGCACACACTAGAGGCTACAGGAAGACATGTGGATAAAATTAACCTTTGTAAACAGCGAATTTTTATGCATCCTCCTAATTGCTACTGTGTTTTATCCAAAAACAGTGTCTTTCTTTAACTTAATTTTTAATTTTAATCCAACTTAACATTTTTAATAATCTCGTTACCCAACTTTCATGCACTCGTTTAATTAACTACTCATTGTTAATCCCAGATAACAGAAAAAATTCCCATTTTTACTCCTACATAACAAGTCGTGATAAGTAACTGACTACGAAACCATATTGTTAATCTGTACCTTTCACTAATTACAACTGGCTGTCGCTAACCGACCTATTTCAAACATTACAGAACATTTACAGTCATATAACATGAAAACTATAAGATAATAACATAAATTTAAACTATTCTATGGTCCAACCTTCAGGGTGACACAAAGCTGCTTTCATGCAAACAAGTACATCGTTTAATGTTTCAGTTGAATCTACATTATCTTGATTTTCTATATCTTCTAGATCATTTTGAAGAATATTTTCATTTTCTATTAATTCTTTTAAATCCTCCTTATTGAAATTGTTTGTATAATTTAACAGTTCATTATCATAATTTGTGTAATAAGTTTCCATTAGTTGGGTATCGTCAGTAAATACTAAAATAAAATTTTTATTCGAAAAATGAAGTAAAACTCATACGAGTACTAAAACAACAATTATCAATAAGATTAGTTGAAATTTTAATGATAAATTTTATTAAAATTGCCAAACATGATTTATATTCTTATTCATTTTACCGTCATAAAATTAGGTTGGATTATGAAAATTCGACCTGAGGCCTACTTGTGGCGCTGCTTGGTAGTAGGGACAATCTTGGCGGAGATAGGACTACTTCGCCAATCTGCTGTATCTGGATCACTTAGGATCCCAACCTCCAACCCCTCAAATCTTGAGAGCTGCCCGATGTGTACCCTCATGTATATGATTTACACAAGCGTCAGCTTATGTAGCTTTGTATTTTGACATGTACATAGGGTACTCACTGGACTAGCATAAGCGAAGTAAGTTTAAATGTCTGCCCTACGTCTAATAAAATCAGCGGCCTAAACCAGGTTGAAGGCATTACTAAAATAAGAAGTCACAAAGTTTACTATCAACCCTCCCTGAGAGTGCTTATGCGCATGTGCTTATCATGAAGTGCATGGACGAAAGTCTATGTACCTATGATATTCATGTTATGCGTAATAGACAGTCTATTGTATTAAATACGTTTGAAGGGATTAGTGATCACCTACGCTCCTAGGTGAGTAATTATACCTATTTGTATGTCATCGGATTCATGGGCGAAAGCTCATGTGCTACTGATAGGGATGCGACATACATACGTGGAAAAAAATTGTGTAGCTTCAATAATTGTAGACTTCTCTGTGTAACAAGCTAATTCCATAATTTGCATACTTACCACTATTACATTTCAATTTGGAACTATTAATATCACTCAGTTGTCTTGCTGATTGTGCATAATTTTGATTTAACATTGCTGGAAACGTAAATTGTCGACGTATAAACAAAGCTTCTTGATTATTATTACCCTTTTTAATAATATTAGGGTTATTATCAATATCAACTTGTTTTTTAAATTCATCCATTGTGACATAATCATAAATTGGACTAGTTAATCTAGGTGAAGGATAAAAATTTTTTATTTCAGTAAAACTCATATTGTTGGTTAAATCTTCGATTTCTTCATTTCTATGTTTTGTAGAATTTAAAAAATTAAATGTTCCAAGACTTTCATCTTCAGCACCTGGACCTTTACCTGGTAATTTTTTATTGTCTAGAAATAAAATAAAAAATGGTAAGTATATTGAATAGAAAATCTGCTTCACAAAATCACTTACCAGGTGATCGTAAAAATACGTACCATTTATAATATTTTTAATTGTGATCAAAATCCCTGAATATACTTAACTAATTAACGGCTCTGTATGGAAACCATCTATAAGTTCATGCAACTTACCAACATCTCTCGATGATTTCAATCATTTTGCATACCACATGATAGATAATTTAACACTTTTGACGTCTACAGATTTTCACTTGTTTTATTTAATCTAAGATCTTGACTGTTGAACGTCTAAATTCTATCAGTAATTTATTTTCAACATAAATACTATAAAGAGCAAGGTAATGTTACTGAACTGGGTGATAGTACTTCATCCTATTGCCATGTTTTGAATATCTATGGAATGAGATCACTAATTTTTATGGATTAAACCATGTAAGTTTGTAGATGTGAAAATCCTTACACAGTGATTTAGAACAAGTTCCGGTGAAATCAGTAATATAACTGTCTGTTTACTCTTCGTTACTTTTATTTATCAGCTTTTACATATTCTGTGTCAATAGACAAATGCATCATAATATACACACGAATAGTAAAACAGGTTTAATACTTATTCCCTTCAGTGAGGCGCCATATTAATTCACAACGATCATAGTTAATAGATTTTTTCACGATTGTATGTACATCTTCTTAACAAGTATCAACTATTACTGAGCCGAGAACCACGGCTGCTTTTCGACTGCTTACAATCACCTAACATCATCTCACAAGCCTTACAAGCTTTAATCAAAGTATCATTAAGCTACAATTAATTAATTAACAACTTATGGAGCTGAGTAGAGGAAGCCGAATTATAGGTGATCTATTAAGCGGTTAGAGACTATTGATAGAAAACCCTAGTCGTGCCCTGTCGATACTAATCAGTGAAGTGCGCTTGGTATTTTGAAAGGATTCATTTTTTTGTGAAATTTCAAGCGATATCCCTTAATAACACAGTTAGAGGCATTATCATTGGCTATTGGAGACATTATTGACATTTCGCACGACTTAGATGTTTACACAAATTGATCATTAAGTAACAATCAATTTCATTATGTTTATTCATGAATGATCAGTTAATTTATTTGGAAATAGGTGGTGAATAAAATTATGAGTAAACGTCAGATGTTCTTCCTTGTATATCTTAGTAACATGTCAATAGATCAACAGAGGACTACATGAATCTGATAACATCTACATTTTTCTCTCAAATTCAGTTATTATTTTTGTATAAATCGGAAAAGTTTGTAGAAAAATCATGTAACCAACTGATCTTAGTTAGACAGTCGCTGAAAACTAGGAGCACCGGACAGATGTTTTCTCCTAGTATAGGAATCTTCGTTAGTACACAAGTACTACTCGTACTGAGATTGAATCAAAGACCTTTAGTTTTGCCATCTAGAGTTTCTTGATTTTCACTGATTGTTTAACTAAGATCAGTCCGTGACGTAAAATGTGGAAGTTAGACAATTTTCTCAAACCCTCTGTGTCAGTAATAATCATGTGCTCACCTAAAGATCAGGATCAGGTTGCAACTGTTGGAGTTATAATGAGATTATGAGACCACTGGAGTTAAATCATATCGAGTATGAGATTTTATCCACCAAAAGCAATGGAAAGTGGTTGCCTATTCTTGGGACTTGATTGAAGTTAGACATGTACACAACTGGATTTCAGCCCAGTGGTCTGAAGGTTAAGCACTCACCGCGAGACCTTAAGGGTTCTTGGTTCGATCTCAGGTACAGTCGGCAGTGTACACTGTTAGAGAGTCCGACACTTGGATGAGACAGCTGTTCAGCATCTCATGGTTTCGAACGGTTTTCTATATAAGATCAGTCGGGGATGTAAACTATGAAAATTATAATAATAAGTGTTGTCTAGATTAAAATATGAATTAGAATTTATTCACCGTTTAAATCTGATTTCTTTGACCAAAATAAATCACCTTCATTTTCCAAATCATCATCTAGTTCATCAATCAAGCTTGTTTCATTGTTTATTTTTTCTAAATAAAGGTTTTTTAATTCATTTAGCAGTTTCTCTGTAGGTATTTGAATTGTAGGCCATATATGATTCAATGATGGATATCCTTTCTAAATTGTAAGAAAAACGGATGAATTAAAGTTCAATCTAGGATAAACTGTAAGTTACTGAACGTTTATTAGCTGGAAATTTAGAAGTTTACATTGTGGATAAATTAATCTGGAAACATAACAAAAACGTTGACTTGAAGCTAATCGTAATACTTTTTTATTCATGACACTTGTATTTAAATTGTATCTGAGATTTGCATAAATCTCTTATACTAATGATTTGTATATAGTAGAAAATATATTTTTAGTATGATAAACAATGTGTTCCTAAAAGAATTCCACATTGAAGCCAGCAATTCGTCGCTCCCTAACTAGAAAAATTAGTCCTAATTACTTTTATTCAAAAGTTGCATTGTCATGTTTTATGTAAACACTGTAATGTGCAACTTGCTCAAATGCTAGAATCGCCGTTTTAGTAAATCTTCCATTGAGATGAGGATAAATTTAGCATTGGATAAGCGTTCTACTAACTGCAATCAGTCAAATATATATTTATCCAACCAATCAATTGATCAATAATTCTTAAACCAAAGGTCGTTTCTATCTTACTGTTACAAATGTTACATCAGTAAACCAAAAGTTTCTTTCTTCCAAAGAAATCAGTCAGATAAAAAATATTCCTTATCAGTCCATTTTGCAACCCTGAGGGTAGTAAGCCCGAATAAACTATTTCTTTGAAAGTTTTAATAACATTTCGGATTGGTTTATGTAGCGGGTTACTTAGGTATTTTAAGAAGAATAGTGTATTTTGAAGATAGATTGTCCAGAAAATATCATGCTCGTTATAACTGCTGAAAGCCTTGAATTTCATTTCGTGTAAGATCTTCAATGTACGCCGTTAGAGAAAAGTGAGTATTTTTTCATTTTATAGAGTAAACGAATGTCATAATGAGATTATATAAACTAGAAATGTCTTAAACTTTCATATTACTACATAGCTTAATGTGTTAGAAGTTTGTTACATTTAGGTTAACAATAAAAAAAATCGATTCATGATCCCAACAATTTCCACAACCCCATACTAAAAATCAAATTGATTGGACTATCAAATATTAATAGATTGGGATAAAAATGAGTTTTGAAAAATCACTATGTAAGTATAAAATATCTCATTGATAGCAATCACTCAACGTATATCAAATCTAAAAGTTATGTTAACAGACTAGCTTTACAGCGGATTTACTAATCGTGGACAAAAACAGTTTTATACTTTCAACATTTAAAAACACTATTATTACACATAATCAGTACATAATATAGTTGTTTCAATAGATATCTTCTTGTAGCTGTACATTTAAGCAACAACTAGGTTATCGTCTCACAGTAAAACTATGCAATAAAAGATTAAGAGTACTCGTCTTCTTATCGAATGATTATTTTTAATTTAACTAAATTTGATTTCATGTACATTTAAGAACATATTTCATGCATGAGACCTTAAAAAGAAGTGTAAAAAAAAGAAATATGGAACTTTGGTAGCATTTCCTTAGTGAATTAGTTAGTATATATTTAATAGCACAAAGTTGATGAAAAGCCACCTTTTTGACTGATTAATTGTTTCTATTATCTTTTGTAAATGATAGCCAGCTGAATGATACTCTTCTTTGTATCAAATGTCCTAGTTATGCACTCATTGAGATTTATTTTTAGTGCGTTGTGGTATTGCATTTCACTATTACAATCGTATGAGTCAAATATCTTAATGATAAAAGATATCTACAATCATCCATCTAGCCTTTTGATTTTCTGATCGGAGGATCGAAAACATCGAACTTTGTGTTCTTAATCGATCTTCTGACGAGTTAAGCAAAGGAGTTAGTCGATTTATTGTTTCTAGAGTAGGCAAAACTACAACACTTGTGGTAACCTGTTAACATCCCTGTTATCAAACCGTTTACTAAAGAACTAGTACTATTATTAAAGTACTTTTGATTGAATAAAGAACAATGGATTGATTATAAATTAAATTTGAAGAACATTCACCAAACCATCATATAGGCTTCAAAAAACAAGTTACCTGCCAGGTGAACAGTTGTGTTTCCATTGTAGAATTTAAACTATTCCGAGTATGTGTAAGCTGTTCTGCTAAATCTCTAAATTATAATGGGTAGTGAAGAAAAAAATTATTTAAGTTTTGTGTTAATGATAAAAAATATTTGGAATTCAGGATAAGAAACCATATTTCACTGACTATACAAAACAAGTCTTGCATGGATAGTATACAATTGGAAACATCGAACTCAGTATGTTGATCATTAATGGGTGGGATTTTTTGCGATAACTTGTTTTAGTGTTGAAGTGAACACTAACATTCACTATGACTGAAGCATATCCGTCAATCTGTCAATATTTATACAGTTCAAAATATGCACCTTGGATTCCACTGATAGCCACTGTTAGACAATATTGAGATGTTCTGCATAAATAACTAGTCAAGAAATCATCGTTAGAGAAATTGATCTATATTACGAGTTAGTATTGATCATTGTGCGAAGTTGTGAATAAACTCGACTTGAAAATTTTAAACACAGTTATTACTTAATGCACGAAAGGTATTGTACTCTCTGAAGAAGCTAGAGATCGTGTGCTTAATCCCTTATGAAGTCGTACTTGCAAACGGCTAGGGAGTTCTAACCTACAACTAAACAGTCATTTAGTGATCCGTCTTTTTTATTGCTTTCAAAGTAACACCATAGAGTATCTGCAAACTAAACTGAGCTCTTTGATTTTAAGAACAAAACGTCTAACGTATGGTAAAAAATCAAATGAGCTAATTTTATTCTTGGTTAAATCAAAATTATTTATTTTACAAGATATTTACCCAAAAATGAATTTTATCATTGTACTTCACATGGTTTCAGTTTATTACAAGCAATTACGTGCTCAACAAGAGTCTATAATGACTGGATCACACTATATTTTAAATTTGGTATTTCTGTTCAAGACGTGATTCCAAAAGGTTGTACTTCTTACTTAGTACTAATAATGATTCATCATATGATAGACAAACATACTAATAATTTGATAGAAGAACAAGTGCTGAAATACCTTAAGACTGCAGTAGTTCTATCTGATTCACTTGCTTTATTTAATTTGATTTTTTGACGTGGCGTTAAGTACTGATCTTCTGAATGTTCTACATTCTCTTCAATTTCTTCATTTAATTGTATTGAAAACTTCTCAGCGTTTTCAATTGACTGTTGTTTGTGCAAAACTGAATCAGGTAAACTAACAAATTCTTCAAACGACATAAGTCTAAAATTACAGAAACAATGACTAAGGACTATAGAGAAGAAACCAGCTCAGGATGAACGTATAGTAACGGAAGCTAATCAACTGCAACCCTTAATATCAACAATGAGAATTTGCAACCCTATACTAGTATTTCTTATTAAAGTATTAAATTATTTGGTTTTTCACCTTTCTTTAATAAAATGTAGTTTCGACAAATAACTAATTCCTTGATGACTTTATTTCATAATATCACACTGACGTTTTCCACTCACTAATTGCTTACTTTCTCTCTTAACAAGCTATTAGGATATTTGTTTTCATGGTCATTGCTGTTACTATATAAACGTAATTGTTGCATCACGTTTTTATTTCTGTTTTGGGGAATATTGGAGCTCTTCTGAAAATCCTTTTTTTCTCTATTATCATTTCATTTATTCCCGTACAGCTAACTTTTGTGCAATAACCGTCTGACTTGGAAAGATCCAGTTTTGTATTTAAAAAATCTCCCGGTCGTTCATAACTTCAAATAATCAAAGTATTATCAAGTCATAACGTCTTCAAGTCGATTGAACAAGTGGATATCTTGACTCATTAACTTAGTATATAGAATGCTGGCACCCAGTCTCATTGCAAATGCCAACACTAGGATGCAAATATGTCCAGACGACTAGCTCTGAATGGAATGAAACGCTCAAGCTGAATTCTACTGCTAACCACAAACTATATATACTGAAGCTTCGAAATGTCAAAACAATTATAATTTCTAATCAGTCAGTCAGTAACAACGTAGAACTTCGTACGTACGTACATCAGTTCGAGCCGTCATACCACATTAGCACAGAGATGCAGTTGTCGATTCCAATCCCGTAGTGGTAGAGGTACTAAGATTATAAGCAGTAATCGGACACATTAGGGTTTGGAGATGTTATTTAGAGAGTATAATACAGTGAAATAAATTTGGAAAGAGAAAAAAGAGACAAGGAGGAATCAGGAGATTAAAAATTTGGGAGAACACAAAGAGTGTATGCATCTGCGCCATTGCAAACGATTTTGAGCCATGTCATTCAACATCTCTAACCATCGGTCGCTATCATCTCGCGGTCCCCAACCAGGTAGTCTACACCTATCAACATGGCTCAGTTCACTTGTCAGTGACTTCATGGATTTGTGACATTTGTTGGTCTGTCCGCCCCTAGCTTTCTTCCAACCCACTCCTACACCAGAAAACATCGCACGTCGAGGCAGTCGGTGGTTGGGCATACGTAACACGTGTCCCAGCCATCTCAACTGATGAAGTTTCACCACTTCATCAATCGATTTGCCATCCTTACCTAGTACCCTTTTCCTAACAACTGCATTACTTACTCGACGCTCCCAAGATATACGAGCAATGTTTCGAAGACACCTATGATCGAATACTAGTAACCTATGAATTTCCTCTACTCTTACCGGCCACGTTTCACTGCCATAAAGTAGGACGGAACGACCTGCTGCACAGTAAACACGTCCTTTGGTTGATAGACGGATATCTCGCCTGCGCCATAGATGACGCAAGTTGGTAAAAGTTAGTCGAGCCTTCTGCATCCGTGCTGAGATTTCGTTACACACCAGACCACAACGGCTGATGAGACTTCCAAGATAAGTGAAGCGGTCGACACGCTCAAACAACCTCGTAAGTATGCGATTAAATTTTTCAAAAATGGAATAAATGGCTAATATTGAACTGAACACATGGCAATTGGAAATTCTCCGATGTATTAATACACTTTCTGTTCGAGATATAAACTCTTTACCACTGACTAAACTTATTTTAGGTATCTCAAACAGTTTGATTAATAAGGCCGAAAATATTCCTTGTTATCAAATATGTTCAATTTAGAAATCGTTAGAATTACTATACGTTCAGGATAATAGTACTGTAGGGCTGTAAAAAAATGTTATTAGCTAAAATGAGGTTGGAAAACGGTAACACATCTCAAAAAATGAATGATTTAACCGCTTAACTACTTTCTATTACTTGTCACTAATAACGATAATAATTAACAGAATTTAAAAGGGAAAATTTAGCGTCATATGACATAAGTTGAAGCTAGTATGTCTATTAGGGGGAAATATTCGTTTATACAAGCTCTTACTTTAAGGAAAAGAAAACCAAACAAACATATTTTTTGGATTATGCACTTTAGCTTTCTTACAGATTAAATTCGCTCCCATCCTTCCGATTTTCACCAGATAATTCGTTTTGCATGTGATTTATGATTTCTTTGTATAAATCCTAAAGATTTAAATTAAAATAAATACCCAGAATTATATATATATAATGTATAGACGACTACAGAAAATCACAAAGTATGTTGTTTAAGGATTTCTCACGACAGTGTTCATATCCATTCAGAATTAGATTTCAAACTCTTAGTTTCAACCACCAATATATTAGTTTTTAAACTGTTTTCCCAATATATATATAGTATAATAGTATAATGTAACATTTATTGTGTGGATTGTATGCTATGAATATTCAGGTAAATTCAGTCGAATACCATACTCCGGTTGACATTTTGCCCACGGCAATTAAGATTCCCTACCCCCCATTTCTAAAAAAATGTATGGTGTCAAAGAAAAATTTAGCGATCGGTGATTGGTGTACTTGTTTTGCAGGTGTGTGCTCAAGGGTTGACATTAAGTAACCGGCCAATATGACTCCCTACTGCCCATTTTAAAAAAATTGTGGGGTGTGAATGAAAAATTTAGGTATCGTTGATTGGTGGACTTGTTTTGCAAGTGTGTGCTCAAGTGATAATGAACAAACATTTTGTCACCTTTAATCATTTTGTAATTGGTCGTAAACTGTTCATCTTTGTGATCTGATTAGCTGAAATTGAAATCATATCTGGAGCTGTGATTGGATGTCCGGATTTTCATTTTTTACATTTGAAATTTAATGATAATGAATAAATCTTTTTGTGTAATCTTAGTCTTAAAAAAACTTAGACTTTTGAAGAAAAAGACACCAACTGAATTGCATTACCGTGCAATTCTACTGTTAGTGAATGTGTATTGGGATAAATTTTTGCTTTTCGATCAAGTATACCTTGAATTGAAGTCGTTAGTTATCTTAACACAAATAATTATATGTATTTCAGTAAAAGAAAGTTTTTGGGAATTAGGTCGGTAGTCTAATGTTGAATACCCAATTAATAAACAAACTATCACGAAAGTGTGTGCATAGGTTTTTTTATAGCACATGGTCTGTTATTCGGAGAAATAAATCAACATATCAATAAATAATCATGATAAATTACTGGTTGCAATATGTATAATTCAGGTTAAGCAACCGAAGACCATAATTTAATGAACTGACTTTGACAGTACATGAAAGTAGTAATAAATTTTCCGAAATAGGCACTTAATATTGAGTGAACGTGTATTTTGTAAATGTTCATTCTTAATGAGAATTAGCAAACGTTAGATTTCAATGCGGTTAATTTTAAAAGTCCATTGAAACGGTTCATTATTTTCACTTGTAAATTATTTGCAGTTCTGTATTTTAAAATTAATTTTTTGGTCGTAATAAAAACTAGTGTGTGTTTAATCAGTCAAGTGTGAATATTGTTCACCGCCGTAATATGAAACCTGAATTATCTAGACATAACGAATGTAACCATTTTTGACAAGCATTTGAAATATCAGTTTCATGAAGTGTAAATGAACAAGCCTACGTCGTCTGACTGACTCAACAAATATCTATCGACTTTAAACGTATAAATATGAATAAGGTCAACTGTATCAATGAACATTTAAAATATTATTATTTATTGTGCTTATGATCATTATTATTATTATTATTATTATTATTATTATTATTATTATGTCAATTGACAAGATTCAATTCTCTTATTATGCATTTCATTGACACAAAATTTTTTGTATTTTCAATTTTCCTATAATGCTCTTCCACTTATTGTGACTGAACACTTTACTGCAAATAATCCCGACCTTTATTGAATGACCTTTCTAATTTGCAAATATTACAATTTGTAAGTATAAATATAAATATATATATCGTAACAGATGTAAACGTTCACCATTGTTGACACATTACATTGTCTAATTCATTAATGTCATACCTTATTTTTGGACTTTATAAAATATAAAAATTATGGGCTTATAACTGTATAGTGTGATGATAAAGTTAATGAAAACGATTGTTCGCTACATTATTTTTTATTTTTGAATATTCTATAAGAATAGTTATATAGCTGTGCAAATGAATACGTTGATATAATCGGTAGTTATGAATAACAATGAAGGCGCAGTTGACGATCAGACGTACTTCTTACGTACGCATAGTTCTGGTTTCAGGAACTTTTAATATAAAACAAGAATATGAAATTCTTGTTTTTTGTATTCATGAAACAGCTAATATTCTTATTTCTTTTTACACTTACTATATGACCTTTAATCACATGAATCATTTCAACGATGATGGTTTCAGCTTAATTTATGTCATTATTTTATTCATAAATAAGTTAATTTTCTTCATTGTGTTTACTTCTCTATGAGCTTGAATCACATTCATCTTCGTAATGATAATCACTAATAAATGTTCTCATAAACTTATTGACCTAACGAGCAAATTATAGTTTTCACTATATTGCAATAATCATATTAAAATGTACTAGAATGTACTATTATTAGATAGTTTACAAAAGTGTTACTAAAACATGAACAGTATTCACAATATTTTAAATATAAAATTACTAGATTAGTCTTCATTAGATGACAAAATCTTGTTTAAGTTTTCTTAACCTTTATATCTAATATACATTAGAAACAAGTTTACGAATAGACGAGCGATAATCGCTTTTCGATTATTAATCTCTAAGGGATATCTAAATTCATGAGACATTAATAAGTGCTTAATCACTTGACCTTTGCCGCGGAAAAGTAGTAGATAAAAAATAATGGAAATCAAATTGTGGGTGGCCCTGAAAAGGGCCTTTACTCGTTCTCGCTGTCGGACGTCATCACTATTAGTTTGTAATGGCGCCGCAGATAGGACAGTGCACTGCTCGTACACTCGTCCAATTCGTATTCGCAAAGCCCACCCAAGGATGTTATGTGAGCTTTCAATTTCCCGTAATCACCTATAGTGTACATTATAAATTGGCAAATTCCGTACCAGGAAGGTTCGCGTGTGAGAACACTTTGTACCGCATATTGCAGACATCTTGAGCGGTCAGACATTTCCCATAGGATTGGTAAGCAAAATTCTTTATGTGGAATGCAGCGGTACCGGAAATCAGCAGCGGTCTCACAGTTTCAAACTCCCCATCCGTTAACCTGCGCACCCATGAATTACCCTGGTACCTCAGGGAATTGCACTCGTGATTGTGATGTACATTCCCACGTACAACAGTCCAATAGCCGTCTATAATCTTACAAAACATAAATGCTGGACATTGGGTGTTCATAGAAGCCCTTCGTTAAAAAAATTATAAAACAATTTACCAAATTACCTCCTCCGTCTAATACGTTGTGACGAACCGCTAGATCTTATACGCCCATTTCGCCAACATACAAATTTAATGTAGGATTTTTGATCTCTGCCAATATGCGAATCTCTCACTACATAATGACTGTAAGTCGATCTTTCAAAATTCGTGATAGTGGTCTTTAACGCCTCAACCGATGGAAACGCAACCAGAAACAAGGTAGTCAAAAAGACTTCCTCCATTTCCGTGACGTGAGAAACACCAGCGCTTGTACTAGGCACATCACTCTGCTCCATAATGACGATTGAAATTGTGCTTCGTCGACAAGTACGGATAATTTATAACAATTTTCAAGACATAACTAACCAATGAAATCTAATTTTTGAAACTAGCCATTTCATTGGACGAAACACGGGATGAAAAATATTGTAATTTGGGGATGGAAAATTTTTTTTTTTAAAAAAATGGCCGGTCGGACAATATTATTCGTGCTCAAGTGATAATGAATAAACATTTTGTCACCTTTAATAATTTTGTAATTGGTCGTAAACTGTTCATCTTTGTAATCTGATTAGTTGAAAGTGAAATCGTATCTAAAGCTGTGATTGGATGTCAGAATTTTGATTTTTACATTTGAAATTTAACGATAATGAATAAATCTTTTTGTGTAATGTAAGTCTTGTAAGAAATTTAGACATTTTAAGAAAAAAACACTAACTTAAGTGCAATCCTACTGTTAGTGAATGTGTATTGGGATAAATTTTTGATTTCCGATCAACAATTTTAATGTCACGAGTACTTATATATATCACATAAAAAGAAAATTTTTGGAAAAAAGCAACTGAAAACCGGTTTGAATATTTGATCATAGTGATTACTGAGTAAGGTCGGTAGTCAAATCTTTAATACCCAATTAATAAACAAATTATCACTAAAGTGTGTGCATAGGTTTTTTTTGTAAGACACGGTGTGTTAATAGGAAAAAGAAATCAACATATCAATAAATCATTATGACAACTTACTGGTTGAAATATGTATAATTCAGGTGAAGCAATCATAGACCATGATTTAATGAACTGACTTTGACAGTATATGAATGTAGTAATAAATTTAACCGAAATAGACACTTAATATTTAGTAAACGATTATTTTGTAAATGTTCATTCATAATGAGAATTAGACAACGTTAGATTTAAATGTGGTTAATTTGTAAAAGTCCATTGAAACGGTTTATTGTGTTCACTTGTAAATTATTTGTAGTTCTGTATTTTAAAATTAATTTTTTGGTCGTAATAAAAACTAATGTGTGTTTAATCAGCCATGTGTGAATATTGTTAACCGCCGTAATATGAAACCTGAATTATCTAGACATTATGAATGTAACCATTTTTGACAAGCATTTGAAATATCAGTCACATGAAGTGTAAATGAACAAGCCAACGTCGTCTGACTGACTCAACAAATATCTATCGACTTTAAACGTATAAATATGAATAAGGTCAACTGTATCAATGAACATTTACAATGTTATTATTATGTATTTTCCTTATTATTATTATTATTATTATTATTATTATTATTATGTCAATTGACAAGATTCAATTCTCTTATTATGCATTTCATTGACACAAAATTCTTTGCATTTTAAATTTTCCTATAATGCTCTTCCACTTATTGTGACTGAACACTGTACTGCAAATAATCCAGACCTTTATTGAATGACCTTTCTAATTTGCAAATGTTACAATTTGTAATTTTTATATATATATATATATATATATATATATATATATATATATATATATATATATATATATATATATATATATATATATATATATATATGTCGTAACAGATGTAAACGTTCACCATTATTAATACAGTACATTGTCAAATTCATTAATGCCATGACATATTTTTGGCCTTTATAAAATATGGAAATTATGGACTTATAACTGTATAGTGTGATTGTACCAGTAATTAATAGTTATATGGGTGTGCAAATGAATACTTTGATATAATCAGTGGTTATGAATAACAATGAAGGCTTAGTTGACGATCGGACGTAATTCATACGTACGCTTAGTTCTGGTTTCAGGTACTATTAAAATAAAACTGGAATATGAAATTCTTGCATTTTGTATTCATGAAACGGTTAATATTTTCATTTCTTTTAACACTTTTTATATGACCTTTTAATCGGATTACTAATTTCAGTGATGACGGCTTCAACTTGTTTTATAATGTCAGTATCTTATTCATAAGGAAGATATTTTTCTCAATTTTGTTTACTTCTCTATGAGCATTAATCACATTCATCTTTGTAACTATCTTATTATATTCACTAATAAATTTATTCACCTAACGACAAAATAACGATTTTCACTATTTTAAAATATTCCTATTAAAATGTACTAGTAATAGATAGTTTACAAATATGTTACTAAGACATGAACGGTAATCACATTATTTTACTTCTAAAATTATTAGATAAGTGTTCATAAAATGACTAAATCTTGTCTGCTTTCTTAACCTTTATATGTATTATACATTGGAAACAAGTTTACGAATACATGAGCGATAATCGCTTATCGATTATTAATATCTAAGGTATATCGAAATGCATTCGACATTAAAAAGTGCTTAATCATTTGACCTTTGCCAAAGACAAAAACAATATTGGGAAAAATGCCTTTAAATCAATTTGTGGGTGGCCCTGAAAAGGGCCTTTAATCGTTCTCGCGGTGGGACGTCCAAACTATTAGTTGGTAATGGCGCCACACATCGGACAGTGTACTGCTCGTACGTTCGGTGATGGGTCATAAGCACAGAATCTATGAAACATGGCTTCACAAGGACAGAAAACCCAACCCACTTCATCACCAGTTTCATAGGGCGGCTGTGCAAGATTACAGATGTCACACAAACAGTTCTCTTCATTTTCTTCATTTTGGATGTCCCGTTCTGTTAACTCTTCTGAGTTTATAGAAACTATGTCATCCTCGTCATTACTTAACGTTTCATCCAAATCGACATTTCCTCGATGGATCAACGGCGTTGTAAAGTTAGTCGACATGCTTGTTCCACTGTACAACTGCGGTTCAGCCTGTAAGTTCAACGGCGTTGGTGGTAGTCTACCGTGAAGTTCTTGATAAAACTGGCTATAGAGTGAACTGCATTGTTCCTCAGACAGTCGCCTGATTAACGCAATCACTGTATTCTTCATGCTCGGCTGGCTCAATTGCATTGGGAAATAATTCTCAACTGCAATACGAGTCAGATAGGTATCAGAGTGTAACCACCTATCACAAATTGACTGTAAGTTCACATCAGTCATACTGTGTGTACAGTAAGCCAATATGTGCCGACATGGCAAACCGTTTTCAATGGAAAATGTACAGGAGCAGCGCATGGAATCACGGTGTACATTGTAAGTCCCTGTTGCGTCCACAGCCGTGAATAAGTCAGCAGACATTACAAACTCCGTCAAAGGAGTGCGCAGGTGCCCTCTACAATTACGGTTACTGGGTTAATGTTAATGAACGGAACACTTACCCTCTTTATAACATTGCGAACAAGGTGGACGCGACACAAGATATGGTGAGCATTGGGATACACCTGCATGATGGCAGCAGCTATTGCAGGTGAATCATCTGTCACAATGCCTACCACCTGTCGACTGTTGGTTAACCGTTGGAAGAACGACAGGAATCGAGAAATCAAAGTCGATGTTTCGCGACTTATAAATGCAATACAAACGGGTATCGCCTTCAAATTCATATCAAGGGCTACGACCTGATATAAATAGATATTCTCGTTATTCGTCTTGTATGTTCCGTCCAAACCAATAACATCACCGAAACGGTCTGCGAAAATCTTTTGATCACCAGTGCTGAAGAAAAAGTACGATAGACGGTTCTCATCGTCTAATTCGTATTCGCATCGCCCACCCAAAGATGTTATGTGCGCTTTCAATTTCCTGTAATCACCTATCGTTTACATTATAAATTGGCAAATGGCTTACCAGGAATGTTCGCCTGTGAGAACACTTTGTACCGCATATTATAGATATCTTGATCAGTAAGTAGTTTCCCATAAGAATGGTAAGCATAATTCTTAATGTGGAATGAAGCAGTACCAGATATTAGCAGCGGTCGCACATTTTCAAACTCGGCCTCTGTTAACCTGCGCACCCATGAATTTCCTTGGTACCTTAGGGAATTGCACTCGTGATTGTGATGCACATTCCCACGTACAACAGTCCAGTAGCCGTCGATAATCTTACAATACATGAAGGCCGGATATTCAGTGTTCATGGAAGCCCTTCATGACAAAAAATGTTAATAACATTTATAAAATTACCTCCTCCGTCTAATCCGCTGTGACGAACCGCTAGATGTTATACGGCCATGTCTCCAGCACACAAATTTAATGTACGAGTTTTCATTTCTGCACAAATGCGAATCTCGAACTACATAATGACAGTAAGTTGATCTTTCATAATTTGCGATAGCGGACTTCAACGCTTCAATCGATGGGAACGCAACGAGAAACAACGTTGTCAAAAAGACTTCCTCTATTTCTGTTACGTGAGAAACAACAGCGCTTGTACTAGGCAAGTTACTGTCCTCCATAATGATGATTAAAATGTACTTCGTCGACAAGTACTGATGTTTTATAGCAATCCGACAAAACATAACTAACAAATTAAAAACGAACTTCAAAACTAGCCATTTCATTGGACGAAACGGGATGAAAAATATTGCAATTTTGGGTTGAAAAAACATTTTTAAAAAGGGTGGGTGGGGGTTTTTTAAAAAAAATTGCCGTGGGGCAAATGAATTTCCCATACTCCCTATATAGTTTAACATTTCTTACCAAAAGTATCGGTTGATATGATCATGCATACTATTTATTAAGTTAATAATGAATTGTCAGAGGTTTCTCAAACATTTATCATACTAATACTAAAATGTAATTCATTTTTATTAAATAATTTTAAACAGTATAGGTAGTATGGTGTTCGATTGAATTTACTTGAATATTCATAGCATATAATCCACACATTGAATGTTACATTATTATGTTACATTACTATTTCGTGAACTTACTGATAATATATATAGTGAAAACAAATTAAAAACTAATGTATTGATGATTGAAACTAAGAGTTTGAAATCTAATTCTGAATGGATATGAACATTGTCGTGAGAAATATTTAAACAACATACTTTGTGGTTTTCTGTAGTCATCTATACAATATCAGATGTTGCTAATGTCGCCCAATAGTTTTATCTAATATCCAGCATAAAATAATTTGAGATGATAAGAGCATACGACTAAATCAATTTTGGCTAACCAGCAAATACAATCGGTACGAATGAGATGGACTTACACGTAAGTACGAGTGAACCGCATTTGATTGAAGAAGTTCTGAAGCAGATGGTCGTTCTTGGGGAGTCTTCTTTAACATTCTAGAATATAATTAAGACAGTTATTAAATAGTAATTAGTGTTTTTAAATAGAATAAATTATTAAGTGAATAATTTTATCAGAAAATAAGAGAGATTTAGGAGATGAACAGTTATTATGTGTTGATAATGTTTCGTAAGTGAAAAGTTTCTAAATCTCCATGCTAATAGCTTACTATCTCATAAGCAATTCAGTATAAATACACATTTCATGTCAAAATAATATTGTGAAAATGATAACTCTTATTCTATGCATCATTTATTCATTCAATTGTCCACCATCATAAATGTGTTGATGTGATTACTCTATGAACTAACTGAAGGGTTGTTTTGAATCTAGGTCGCTTTTATCAGTCTGTCAAATGTCAAAAACTATTCATGTCTTTTTCAGGCGTATATACCATCATCTTATTTCTACAGATTGCTAACAAAATGGTACCTTAAATCATGATTGTAAGAAATAATACCATAAATAAATTATATTTTTAAATCCTTCGAAAGAAGCTCGGATGAAATCGCTAGGCTATAGCTCTGAGTAAATCCACTTAGAATATGCTATGATTTTACAAATACAATGCGTATATACTGACTTTAATTTACTTACAGTCCAATCATTTCTAAAATAGTCATCAAATCTGTTCAACACTCCTTACAGAATAACACAATCAAAAGACTTATAGGTATCATTAACAAGGTTTGACTTGATACTTTCAAATAAACTGAGAATTTAGTAGAGTGTTAGTAATAAAATAACAACATTTTTGCAATATCCCAATGAGTAAAAAATTAAATTTTCTGACATTTTGTTATTCAGTATGAGTGGCTCCTGCGGAAAATAAATATTTATACTCATTAAGACTTTGTGAAAGTATTAATTTTATGATCAAAAAATGTTTTCTCACTGTCTCAGACCAGCGACAACCAGTGACACTAACCTTAACTATTTCAGTCATTTGACTTTAAAATTGGCCGAGTACTCGCAAATGAAGTTAGTTTATTGTTGCTAGTGTTTAACTACGAGCACTTACTACCAGTCAAAGGAAGTGGAAATTTGTTGAGACGTTTACGAATAAAAATATCATAGCATACACATACTAAAACAAGTATACCAAATAGAGCATTTGATTAGGATAAAATTCTCATTAATTTTACGTACAGTTCTAAAACCTCTTGTAATTCTTTTGAATAAATTTCTGGTAGCTGAGGACAAGGATCATTTATCACCTGCCACATAACACGCATTAAATTAGTTCCAGTGAATGCTCTTCTTTGGGTGCATAGTTCATACAGAATTATTCCGATTGACCTATACAACAGTTAAAAAGCTACAGAAACTGCTTAACTAATAGTAAAGTATAGTACAAACCACGTTACACGAGAGACCAGTGTTAGTACGTATGAATCAAATAAGTGTGCCTGTACCTAAAGCATTTTACCTGAATAATGTATTTCTATCGCCAAAAATGTTATGCAAATCACCTATTTACGGTTGATTGGTCATTTAGTCATATTTCGATTTAATCTATTAGGGAACAACGAATTCTACTAACCAAGTTGAAATCTGATTAGCAATTCAAGTGATTTGACATCACTACGCTGTAGTCTCTGATATTTTAGACTGGTAATTTTCTGACCAAAAAAGGGTCAAACAACATACAACTCACACTTCAGAACATCTCTAGACAATTACACATACATAAACATCAAACAGAAGATATTACAAACTTACTTCTATACGGTAAATACAAGTTTCAGGTGCCTAATTAAAATATTATGAATTACATCATAAGTATGCAGTGATCATTTTCTAGATAAATCTCAATATTATTGATTATCGTATCTTGATCAAACTAGGATGAAATTCATTCTCACTGAACTTATTGAGTTCACCGACGTCTCATTGCTAAAACACTTGAACTCGAGTATGAATAATGCAAGCTAGAAAGTTAACTGCCACAATACAAATCGACTTCAGACCAGTCACACAGTAACACCTGATTTCAATGTTCAATTTTGTAAATCTGTTTAAGAAACAAATGTATGGATCAGCCACTTGAAATTATTACGTTTTCGAAGTGTGAACTAATTTTCTGTATTCTAATCAATAGTTGAGCCATTCTGTTTACCTCCAGAAAATCTATTCAGTTCTCTTTGTTTATCTATTCATTTACTGATCTACTCTCATAAATTTGACACATTTTATTGAACTATGCATCCACTGTAACAGATCGTGAGCAGATTATTGGTGCTAATCAAATTCAGTGAGAGACAAATCGATATGTAATCACCAAAATGTGATCATGCATGTCATAGACATGGAAATAACTCGGAGAAATAAATGACGGAGGGAGAGAGATAGAGATAAGAAATGCTAAACCACATGTTTACGGATAGTTTGCGTTATGTACAAGGTGTTATCTGTTTAATAAAATCAGCAGACTACATGAAATTCCAATTCGAGTTATGTAGTTGTTGATTTCTAATGAATTTTCTATCTGTTTTTTCCCAATTGAAAATTAACCTTCATTGAAGCAACAGTGAAAGCATAGAAACTGAAAGTATGTCGACATAGTGAGTTGTGGAATCTGTCGAATTATTAGTCTCACATAATGGACTGACTTCGGTTAGACAATCGGTCGATACCTGAGAGCCTTGAACTGTTGTTTTGTCATGGTCTGGGATAAGAAATCTCGTGCTGTCACAGTTGATCGACTGAAGTACCATGAAGTGACTAAGTGACCACAGCTCGTGAAAATCTACTTGGTGGTGTAAGCTCCTCTCCCAAACTAACTAGAAACAAAAATATAGCTGGTTGACGAAATAGTTTGTTTTTGCTTGACAAAATAGCCTGTATGTAAGAAGAAAATACGACGAAATGGAGAGGATTGGAACTCACAGATTTTTTGACCGATTAGGATGCAATGGTGTCTGGAGCTCTTTGGATATCTAATAAATTCAACTCTTCGAGCACCATATAAATTTTTGCATGCCATTTTATTACCAATCAACATTTCAACATAGTTCACGCCATATCAAGTCATTCTGACTTGTGAAAACATTTCAACTCCATCTTTGTTATATGAGCGTCTCTAAATGAACTAGACAAACATGATATTGGTCACCATTGATCGGTCATTTATTAGTTAATATCATATTTCTATGGGAGGCTAATCCCAGCTCCAATAGCTTAGTGGTCACCATCTAGATCTATGAATGATGATAACGCTGGATTAATCGGCCGGGTAGCGGCAGTTCCTACAGGACTGTAGATACGTTTTACTGTCGGTCGCTACATCAAGCCGACATAGCTTACTTTGGCTTCCGGACAGGTCAATTTATCCATTCTTCTTGAGTCACTTTTTGACCTTTTTAATTATTTGCTTATCAACCTTGAATATTTCTATATAAGCGTATGTGTGTGCATTTCTTATATTACTCATCACGTGTCTGTTACTTATTTTTGTCTGACTATAAATATCTTTTCACGCTTGGTTAAATCGATTCGGATAGTATGGCTTTTCCAATCCGTTTTGTTTCGTTTCCCTGAGTGTTTGCTCAGATCAACGGTTGCATGAAACATACGTATTCAAAATCCATTCTTGTGTTTAACTTATTTAACCCCGTTATTCATTAACGCGAATTAACTCGATAATTGTATACGAGAATTGGTGACATGGACTTCATCATACTGGAGTCAGATAAATGGCCACCAAAACGTTTCCCTGTTAAATTTCAATGAACATGAAACCTAGGTTCAAGATTTTCTACCAGCCACCTAACAAATCTTTTACTATAAGACGTTCAACTTACCAAATATCTGATTTATTATTATATCCTTCGTACTTCAAAACTTCCGGACTCATATAATAAGGAGTCCCAATAAACGTAGTTGCCAGTTCTTCAGTTGTGGCCAGTGAACGCGAAATACCGAAATCACCAACTTTAATATTCCCATTCTTTAAAAATATATTACTAAAACCATTTTAAAACATAAGTTTTACCTAAAACGTTTCCGAAAATTCAAATCACTTCTTAAAAATTCAACTCCTCAACTAATTCAATAAACATGATCAATGCTGCAATAAACATTCTACATGGGAAGCATTTCTAATAACAACCTAAATAAGACCTAGCTTTTGATAAATACTTAAGGTAAGCTTCAATAATTTTATAAGCAGTTGTAGTATTATTGAGAATTTTTGGTTTGTTTATTTAAATTTAATTATTTATTCACATCTTTCCGAGTTCAAATATTTTAGTAAAGATTCGGAACTGCCTGCAAACGACAAGCTGTTATAAATTAATTGGAAACCTCAATTATTTATATTTACATTAAAAACTGTTTGCTAGTCTTATGTATTTTGTGTACAATTTAGGACTAACTCATATGAAACAAAATAAATTACGGTGGTACTGAAAAAAATATGCCTGTTGAACACATTTTCTTAGTTAGATCCAGTGTCTTCGGGTTATCGATGATTCTTTAACAAACTTCACTTCGTGAAAGCTACTTTCAATTAATTTTTGAAAGAGTTTAGTTTATTACGTTGTTGATATTACTAATTGAATTTCGATCAATTTTAGTTGGCATATGTACATCCTGTGTACATTGCCTTGATATAATTATTTTTCCCACAAGATTTTTTAAAAGAGAGATTTTATGTGGCTGTGGAATCCAGAATGTGCGTTTTGAATCTGGCACCTACATACTTAATAGCCATCTTGTTATTTTCTGCTCACTAGGTCCAAATCTGTAATATGTGAAATATATTATTTATTAAAACTAGGTATTATCGTCTCCTCTTTCAAGATCATTCTTCTTTAAATCGAACTTCTATATTGGGTTTATCCATCTGTTTTCCAATATTTGTTGAGCATGCTGTGTCTAGTGTTTTAGGCATTTTTCCCTTCATTTAATGGAAAAATGCTGCATTTAAGAGTGTAATTTCCACTTAGGATTTCACTTGAAGTATCTAAAATTATCCACATCTGTATGCTGCGGTCACTTCAGCGCAGCGCATACCAACATGTCGGATGGAAGATACCAAATATAATGAAAATTAGGCTGTGAAACAATGGTCTCTTATATAAGGCACTCACTCACTAAATGAATAGGAAAATTCCGAACAACGTTTACGATTCCATATTTACTGAATATTAAGAAATGGATGGATAGAGTCATATAATTTTTAAATATAATTCCCTTCAAAATTTCCGTAAAGGACAAAATGACGTTGTTAGTTTTTTTACTTAAATTACAATTTAAAAAATCCAACTCCCAAATTATAATTAAAAACTAAATATATTGAAAAAGAAAATCAGAAAACAACCTTGTTTTTAAATCACGGTGAAGTATTTTATTTTTATGCATATAAACTGTGGCCAATATAATTTGTACAAGCCATTTTCCAATAATTTTTTCACTGATACGTCCTCCTTTACTCTTCACTTGTTTTAAGTAATTGGTTAGATCACCCCCCTATCATGTTTTACAGTACAATTAAAAATAAAAGATAAAATCTTAGCTTAGATTAATCCATTGAAATTTAACATACTATGTTTTATTTTTATGATGAATAATCGCTGAATACTGTTTTCTTTTGTAACGATTTGACGAAGAAATAAGTTGACGAAATGTGCAGTCATCAGGGAAAATATAATATATAGGACAATAATATAGTACTAACGGGAACTAGAACTTCGTGAACTAGTGTGTTTTCTGGTCTTTACCCACCTAGATAATCAAGATCAGATAAACTTATGAAGACTTTTAACGTCTACTGGATAGAATGTTTAAGAAATATGATTGTGTATCTGGTAGCAATCTACCTCTTGATATACAATTAAGACAGTGTGAAAGTAGTCAACTACGCTAAATTATTGGTAACTTTGGTTCTCTTTGAATTGTCTGCTTATTGTTGTGAATCACGTTTGTCACTTGACTCCTTGAAATACATGGATAGAGGCTAAGAAGCATTGAATTTTTCTACTTTGAGGAAATCTCATCAATGAAAATACATTCACACCTTTGTTAACTCTTGATAATAATATTGTTATCCTACTTCAGTTGATTTCTTATTTGCTTATTATCTGCAAGATATTGACGTATTATGGGTTAAACAGTCCTTAAGAACTTTTTGAAATATAAACTAAAGAGGCAAATAAATCAAGAATAACAAATCGTAGTCTGCATGCATGATAAAACTGATTGTTAACTGCCGATTCAAAGAGATGAAGCAAAGGTATCATTCGAAACTGAGAGCAAATCGGTTCAGTTTGTCACACTTTTTAAGACCACATTAGAAAGATAGATAACCAAAAAAGAGACCTTAAAATGAACAATTCATGATGAAACTAGTCACAAAACGTTTCACATAATTACCAGGCCTACTAATAACGGTGTACTAACAAGTAACTAGATTTAGGGTGGATTTATCAAAGTTCCAGTTGAAGTTTATGAATTGTGAAGTTGATCATACCTGAAGTGGGACTATAACTTGTCGACCAAATTGAATGTTTGCATCACTACAGTAAGTTAACTTAAGTCGAAGATACAAATCACTAGACCCCGACTCAGGGACTTAAATCCATTGCACTTGAGACGAAACTGAAGTGGTATGTAGAATATTAAGTGTTAGGAACCTAATGTGAATTACTAAGATATAAAGCAAGACAAAGCATCCACTCCATTTTTCATGGTTTTATATCATCCCATAATTGATAACCCTGGTGAAAGTAATCATCAAATAATAAAAAACGTTTATTAAACCACCTAAGTTTTAGAAAATAATGCATTGAGGAACATGTAAAACAAAATTAAACAAGATACTGATTTCATATAATTTAGAAATTTAAAAACCTGTAGAATTTAAAAAAGGCAGTCTAAGCTTATCTAAAGAAATCTAATATTCTAAAACTCATTAATACAACCAGTGAAATTAGTTGCTATGATACAAAAAGATTTTATCCTAATTTCGTAACAAGCCACGGTAAACAATGAGACGGTATAAACCGCCATACCAATTAACAGGCACTATTTATTATAGTTGTTGTGTGTGAAAGCAACTATGCAGCCTTTAGAAATAAATAGAAAGGCATGTCATTTAGAACAAAAGTATGAAAACAGCAGTAATATAGAGCATTATTTGAAGAGATTTTATGGATTTAAATTGACTCATTTGATTAAAATAACGTATATAAATTTATTCTGATAGAAGATTCATTTCACTGGTATCAGTGTATACTAAGAGATGTAAGATCAGCATAAAAATCGAGAGCAGTGAGCACTAATTGGCCTCATACATTGTTATTAAGCATTACCATTTAATCACACTCATCTCAGACAAGTTCAATAGTTCTCATTTGCCTATTATACAATGAAAAGATTCACTACAATATAAAATGTGTAAAGAAACTTTTATACATTGGCTTATATCATCCGAACGCAAAATGAAAACAAAAGAGCACCAAAAACCAGTTTTGGTGTGAACATGATTGGTATTGGGCTCTGAATGAAGCACAGTGGTCCTAGTTGTGACTTATATCAAGCAAGAAGACAAATTGCATGAACAATCGACGATGATACCAAAAAGTATGAAAGTCTCTCATTGTACAACTAGCAATAATATAAACCGACTTCTTATATTTTTGTTTATACTAATTGGAACAAATATTAATCTTGTTTACAAGCTTTTATTATTATCAAAACATATTTCAGTTAAGTGATCTTTGGATTTTTGTAGTCCGATGAAAATAATTTTCTCACCTGGGTTACATCCGTTTGCTCTTGAGTAACATACTTAACCACTGTTTAGAAAAACTAATTTAGGTTCGTAAGCTTTACAGTGTTAGCATAGTAATTTTTTGAGTACAGATGATCATATGTGTATCTACCTAGCGACCACAGATAAGACATATGTAAAACTTAACCAACCACCGGAGCTAAACATAAGCTTGTGCTGCTTGTATATAGTAAAAAATACTTTTGAATGGTGGTTGGAGGTAGTCAACAGGAAACCCTGGACCCGGGTTTCGTGCTACTTGGCACTCGTCAGCAAGGTGTACCTGTAATCTTGAGGGAACTGGTGCTCCCTGGCGGATTCGATCTCGTGTCACCCAGCTTCACAGTCAGAGACGTTACCACTGAGCTATCCGAGCCGTGACTAACCTCCTGTAGGACTGAGATGTAATCACAATTGATTGATCACTGGGTGGTGATCAATGTCATACTTGTCTAGTCCTTATTAGTGCAGATCGAATGCTATCGATCATGTTGCAATGTGGCCACCAGTCTAGGTGACTCGACACTGCGGGCACTATGTATTGAGATTTAGATGGTGGTTGGAGGTAGTCAACAGGAAACCCTGGACCCGGGTTTCGTGCTACTTGGCACTCGTCAGCAAGGTGGTAACGTCTCTGACTGTGAAGCTGGGTGACACGAGATCGAATCCGCCAGGGAGCACCAGTTCCCTCAAGATTACAGGTACACCTTGCTGACGAGTGCCAAGTAGCACGAAACCCGGGTCCAGGGTTTCCTGTTGACTACCTCCAACCACCATCTAAATCTCAATACATAGTGCCCGCAGTGTCGAGTCACCTAGACTGGAGGCCACATTGCAACATGATCGATAGCATTCGATCTGCACTAATAAGGACTAGACAAGTATGACATTGATCACCACCCAGTGATCAATCAATTGTGAAAAAATACTTTGCACACAATACTACAATTTATTCATGATTTAGACAAAATACACTACAGTGGCTCTACAGATTGTTTCTAATCTTTTCATGCTGATCCACTTGTAGCCATCAGAGCGCCTTTTAGTAAAATCTACGGATTTTATATTACTAGATACGCTCAATGCTATTACTTATTTCAAAGTCATAAGTAATTCTGTATACGTCAGCAACATGTGATAGCAATGTCTTTTATACTAGTCACTTTATCTATTTTGAGCGTCACGAAAGCTCGCAAAGTTCTGGTGGAGATTTTAATCAATGAAATATATTAAGAGATAGAGTAAAGTCCAATAGTGTGTGGGCGAGGAAAATGATGATTAGTTGTTTGCATAGTCATATATGTAGATAGCCTGGTAGGTATTAGGTGTGTTGTTTGTCTTTCTACTCATTGTTATTATGGTTGTTTTCAGTTATTGGCATTGAAGTATACTCACATTATAGTCCGGCCAGTCACAGTTGTGTTAAAGTCCTGTAGAATAGACACTATCAGGGTACCTAGTGAAGATATTCGTTTAAAACATTAGTGTCACGTTGATCTGAAGAACAAATCCGAGCATTGTTTCGGATTTTAGATGAACTTAGTTTCGTCCATACAAGTTACTATTATGACTTGATATTTGTAGGTAATTGCGACCCAATATCATTGATTTATAAATTAATTCACGTAGATGAAGTCGTTAATTAACAACAAATGGAGACATTACTTACCAATCGGCTCTGCATTACGACGTGTTTAGTAACCTACAGATCGTTAGTTGGATAAATGAAAAGTAAGTAATTAGTTTAGCTAGCAAACTAGTTCTATCACATCCATTTTAGGTTCATCAGCAGTTGTGTAAAACTATGGGTTTTTCGACTTGATTAAATCAGAAATCCCATTTATAAACTATTTTCTGCTCAGATGACGTAAATACTAAACTTTTAAACATTTAAACAATCTTTTTGTATTATTCGCTATTAGTAGGCCGAGACAGCCACTTCTCGATACCATATTTTAGAATAAATTGTGTGTCGTACTTGCGCTGAATAAAAATATGTCTGACCTTTTTCCCGAAAGCTAATCAACAGCTCCATTTGGGGTGAAATTAAACACGAAAAATATGATTTTATCAGCTAACATCAGTGTCACTGAATGATTCGGGTGACTGTGCAAAGTTTTTTATCATATGCCATGCACGACATTTAACGGACTCTGTTGTTTCTCCCAGCAAAACTACTAATTCGTTGTGTTCAATTCACAGAATCATTTTCTTAAAATACAACAGGATGATTTGCTCTAATCACTTATTATTGTTCTACCTTTAAAACCCATTCAATACATTAGTAGTCATCTAAAAACTTGTAGTTCTAACCTCTCTCACCTACCGAAGTCATTAAAGAGTGGAAACAACATTGGTGGAGTAAAACGTACGTGCAAGAAAATCATCTGGCTGACACTAGCCTGACACAAGAATGCTGGGTGTTCATTGCAAAAAATGCCTAGAAAATAACTACAACCATCAACTCAAAAAATGTTCACGACTAGAATAACTACGAATGGGTTAAATACGATATAAAGACATCATTTAACTCTGTGATGTTATGATAAGTCATAATATGTTGAAAGTATTATTCATCTACAACGTGGACAGCTCGTAATTAAGTCAAACAGTGTTTGCATGGAATTTTTTTGTTTTTCATGTTAGTTGGAATAGTAACGCAACTAGTTACGTTTTAAGGGGTTAGCTATTAAAAAACTCTCCTCATAATGCCATAAAATATAGACCAGGGGATTAATCGAAAAAAGATCTCGGGTTATTTAAACGGGAAGGATAAAATTATTTGTTGAAGAATACTGCTCTTCTGGACTGTAGTGGTTGTGGGAGAAGACAATTTAGTCTATGGAACCTGAATATATATCCGTTTACAAGCAAATTCGGCGAAACAGCCATATTTTTAATGGTCAGCAAATTTCATAAACAATAATCATACAGTGAAAATCTCTAACGACTCACTTCACAATATTCTGACACAATGCAGAACCTATTTTTATCAACAAAACTTTCATGAATACAGAGTATATAAGGGTGTTTTAGACTCGATAGAAGATGGGCTTCTTTTTCATAATCTTTTTGAACAGCTTCTGAATTGTCATCAAGTTTTATGCACTTCAGAGCTTTCAAAACCTTCCTGATCACGGTCCGTTCAAAAACACTATTAATTACGTGCAATTTTGAGATTCGTGGAAGTCCTCCACCAAGTAAGTTTTCCCACTCGCTCCTTTTCCGAGCTTTTTAATCACAGTATATCGACTTTTGAATACAACGGTGCTTCCGTCCTTCATTTTGAATTAGCTCGTAGGATTTGATTACTATGACAACACGTTTCGATTTTCCGCTGACAATCATTTTTTTAAGGACTTCAAAGAACAATAGACCGATTTCTGAATGTAGCTTTTTTTTAATGTTTCCAGACGCTTTGTGTATTGCCCTATTTTTCCCGTTCATTGAACAATCGTTTTCATGAATCAGCCTATGTCACTTTATCAAACGTCTTTGATTCCGCTATCCAATATATAATTGGTAGTTTGGCGTACACATAGTGAATTATCTGTGCCCTTTTCTCTTTGTGTCGGTACAATCCTAGGTTTTATTTGGCGTCCAAATTGAGTATTCTAATCACTTGCCTGTATTGGTCCCAATGGGTCCAGTAGTTGTGGGTTAGCAAGTGCCGAACATTATCACGCAGGATGTTAGTTAGTCGTTATTAGAAAAAAATTCACATACGTGAGAGTGAAAGAAAAACTGACTGTGAGAAATTGGATTATTCACCAAGTACGCAAACAAACGAATGGACAGTAGTGCAGGAATAACAGATTAACGTTATTAACACGAAACGAATCGGATAGAAATAAGCTAATGATATGTTGTAATATTAATGGGTGTAGATGATTTGGGAGCCATGTGTAATTAGTCCGAGAGGCAGACGGTAGTCCACTGGCAAGTATATGTTTGTCATATGAGGAAACTCTCAATGTGGAAATTTTGATTTCATTCTGGTGTAGTGACTCACGTTTATCACGAGAACACGACTGGTTTAATAAAAACAATTATTATTACAACCAACTGTACCAGTGTTTGTTTTAATGTGCTTTTGTTTAACTGTGCTAATTGTAGCCATTTTGTGCTTCCATTACCTTCCATTATTGTTCCGCGGTTTTTGGTACTGTTCGCACGTACTCCTGTCTTCTGCTTTCGCTTGTACCTCTTCTTGGCACGATCTCGGTATTCGTTCAATACCACGAGATCGCCAACGAAATAAATCTGGTTACATTCAACTCTCGCCTTCTGATTTATCTGGCACGTGTTTCCTGGTAGCGGTGTTCATAGTTAATCTTCAATTCGACGCCACGCTACAATTGGTAATCCCAATTCGATACAATTGGTGATCCCAAAGTTTGGAACACGCCTCAACTTCTGATCAAATCTTCCAAAGAAGCCAATTCGGTGAGTCTATGATTTATCTATCCACGTCTGTCGTATATTTTCATATTTTTTAATATATAATATACGCGACATGACGGATAACGATAAGAATAGTAATAATATAATAGACTCACACGTATGTGTACCGAATCCTTGTCACTTTTTATTCGCGTGATGATGAATTCCACGCTTTATTCGAGAAATGTTACCCTATTAACGATTCTCCTCGCTGACCCGGCTGCTTGGTACGGAATGCATACGCATAAGCATATCCGTCTACCACCCAGCACCAAATGGTTAAGTTGAACGGTTTCACTGCCAACTTAAAAGTGTTCTACGAGCACACGAAATTGGCAACTGGCACGAAACCATACCGCTCGTTCTTTTAGGGGCGAGAACGAGCTTAAAGGCAGATATCCAATGTTCCGCCACTGAACTCGTATACGGCACGACATTGCGTCTGCCCGGAGAATTCTTCACACCACGGAGCAGACCTAATTTCGGTAAATCAGACTACGTCCATCGACTGTCTGCATTTATGCGAAAACTGCCTCCGGTGTCAACTCGAATACAACATCGACAGGTCGCTCTCCCTCGAGAGTTATCTACCTGTTCACATGTTTTTGTACGAGTAGATTCGATACGCAAACCTTGGCAACAACCTTACGAAGGCCCTTTTCACGTGATCGCTCGTCACGAAAAGACCTTCAAGGTTGATCGATATGGACGCGTCGAGATCGTCAGCATTGATCGTCTCAAACCAGCACACGTCGATGACAGTGCCCTATCTGACACCCTGAGATTCAATGCTAGACCTATCAAACCTAGCGGGATCCTTAAATCTTCTTCAGGTCCCACGCTAGATGCATCTGAGACCTCATTCTCACGTCCCGGTCAACAGCACGCGTCATCTGCACCGTCTACGGATGAGACGACAGTCTCACGTCCAGATCAGCAGACCACGCCGCCCTTGACTTCGGATGAGATTGCAGGCTCACGCGACGCGAACGAGACTGCCGTCTCACGTTCCGGTCGCCGAGTACGGTTACCCGTACGCTTCCGCGAATAGTCGCACAGTCAACAACCGATACGGTGTAGGGTTATTCCTATACTACACGTATGCTACACTCCTCTTTTTTTGATTTTCTTTTTGTTTCCTGAGCCCACGCCTTCGACCATCTACGTTTGGTTCCGTCGACTTCAGTCAACTTTGGCGAAAGCTGGATTGGCCACCCACGCTCTTGTCAACGTACTCAGTCGATATATTGGTTTCGAATGCTTGGCACACGCTTGGTCTCGAACTTGGTCGTTACGGTCGCTTCTGGTCTTTTGGCTCAACGTGGTTTCGTCCTACGTCTGCAGCGTTTCTGGTACGCAGTCCTACGAACGCCCTCTTCAGATTCTGGATACAAACCACTCTGGTGTAGCATGCCAACTCGAGCAATAAATACAACACATCGCTCCTGGTACTGTTCTCCGAAAACGATCCTCGTTGGCAACTCGACGATCAACGATCGCTTTCCTGTTCGCCAATTCTTCCGTCCTACAATCGCTCGTCAGCCGATCAGTCCCACGATTCAAACCGCTATTTATCGAAAGTGTAAACCCTTTCTAGCGGGGGGCTCCTGTAGTGACTCACGTTTATCACGAGAACACGACTGGTTTAATAAAAACAATTATTATTACAACCAACTGTACCAGTGTTTGTTTTAATGTGCTTTTGTTTAACTGTGCTAATTGTAGCCATTTTGTGCTTCCATTACCTTCCATTATTGTTCCGCGGTTTTTGGTACTGTTCGCACGTACTCCTGTCTTCTGCTTTCGCTTGTACCTCTTCTTGGCATGATCTCGGTATTCGTTCAATACCACGAGATCGCCAACGAAATAAATCTGGTTACATTCAACTCTCGCCTTCTGATTTATCTGGCACGTGTTTCCTGGTAGCGGTGTTCATAGTTAATCTCAACTCGACGCCACGCTACACTGGTATTCACTCCATAGTGATCTTTTTTTGAGGAATGGTGATGAGGCTCCAGTGTGACATTTGTGTTAGGACGACTTGGTTTCCCTTCTTTATCGTATTTTATTGCTAATCGACTCCTTATTCTCCTGTGACCCGGGGGGAACGATCTCAGAAGTCCAGTTCTACCTACCTAAGATTTGCCCCTCAGCTCCATCACCCACCATGTTGCGTGTCTCCTTAGGGAGAGTTAAAAACCGTTATTGGTTAAAAATATTAAATTTTTTCCATATGAAATTACTAATTTTGTTTGTTCAGCTCCAGCCCCACAGTCTTTACGAGTGTCAAGAATCCCAAGGGTAATTATCCATCATCGTACTCTGTGAATATAATCATGAGAGTGCTATTGTGAAAGAAATAAGGTGCATAAGGCTGAATATTCACAACATGACATTTTGACAAGTTATTTTTAAACCAAATGTCCACCACCAACCTACCTACGATGTCAGGTCTTTTTGGGGCTCACTCGAATCCTTTTTGCTCCTTATGGTATCTTGTTAGCATATGTTAGGCTCAGTTAATCAGAAAGAAAAGTTATCCTACAGTGGTTTCCCATGAAACTCCTGATATGGTGGCCCTTTATTTCCCACGAACCCTATTTAACTTGATGTGGAACATTCAGCTTTCCAGGCAATCTAGAAATCTGAAGAAAAAACGGGTCAGTGAAACTATCGTTATGAAGTTCATTATGAGCTTATCACGTAGTTCAGTCTAGAACGACTTTCCGAAGTAGGGGAATATCACGCGAATCGGAATCTAGACCTAACAAGTTATGCAGGTTTCCTATTCATAATCATCGGATGAATAATGCTTGTTTTTGAAATCATGTTGGGTTGCATGAAGAGCATCGCTTCTTTCAATAATCAAACCCTCCATAACCTTGAATAGCCTTGGAAACGGTGGTACTGGACCGTAACCACTCACCATATTGACCTAAAATAATTGAAAATGAAGAATCAATAGTCCATATTAACAAAACAATAGAGTAAAATAAAAGTTTCAATTAGAACAGACATACGTAATGGAATAAGGAAAAATATATTAAAACGACACTATGGGAAAATATTTACTATATTTTCCCAGTGTTCTAAGATATTAAGTACTGTTCCAGCTGTCAGTGAGAAGCCTATGTGTTTGACTGCGCTACATGACGTGGTCGGAGCTTGATTGTGAGTTGAAACTGTGTGCTTAAGGTTGTATATAGGTGACACTTGTACATTGTTTGTGATGCATAAACATTCATAAAATAATCCGTCCTTGAGATTAAAAAATTAAACGTGCTCTAGTCAATACTGGATAGTTAATTTTGTTGTTTTTTCTTTTACTTCCAGAAAACAGTCCTTGTCTTATTTTCAAATCAATTGTACAGAGTTTTAATTGCGTTCTAAAGGACTGTTATGTATGAAACTGATAAATCGTCAATATCATAAATTTAGGCAGCTCAAAAAACAAAATCCTTATTTCTTTTTTTCTATTTTTGCATTTTTGAGGATCTTTTCTCTTTCGGCTTTATTGACATCACATACATGGGAGTTACAGACTGCAATGTTACAATCCACGAGGCCACTGCCAAGGGTGAAACTCGAAGTATTTAATTTAGTACGCGGTGTTATTATTAATACCACTCATTTTTACCAGATTTTAATTCATCTGTTAAACCCAGGATTTGAACTTAGGTCGAGGAAAATTTCATCCTTGAACTTCCAGTATTTATCCTGCATTTGGTTTGCCGTGGAAAACTTATCACAAGTGTAGCGTCTGGAAAGTATTCCAAAATATTTTTTGCAATGCTCACTCTTAGCGTACAATATATATAGATATACAAAAGTTGTTCTGAAATTTCACTTCGTTGTTTATAATAATGTCTATCTGAAAAATAAGCATACCAAACACTTGATGTTTTAATTTTATAGGGACTTGGACTTGACTAAATAATGGTGAACTCACATTAAATTTGTAAATTTTTATCCTTCCCTCGTTTTATAAGCTTTCTGGATAAAGTGCGAACCGTTGTAGCAGTGTTACCAGCTTTTTTAATTGAATTTGCACATCTTAATTATGACAGAATACTCAATGTCCGTTTTAATTGGAATTCTGTGACATCTAGTAAACCTTTGAGAATGGCATGAACTTTAAGCCATTTTTTATTTTCCAGGAAGATGAAAGTGATCATGCTACACGTGACTTGAAAATAAGTTTAGAGTACGAATGAAATCTCCAATAAAGTGTATTCATCTCTTGTTTTAACTGTGTTAAGTATGCTGCCAAATAAATGACTTTATAGCAAATCACTGAAAAATATCTTATCATAAAATTAGTAGATCAAGGACCACTACTGATTGTTTGCGCCTTAATCAAATCTAGCTCACAAAGTCCAGTCCGTTCGACTAAAATGAAACTAGATGCATATGGATAAAACCTACTACTCTGTGAATGAATAACAAAGTCCTATAACACAGTTAAGTAATAATATTTTACTACTAATAAATATAACTCAAGCGAACTTTATGTTACAAAACAGTGTAAACGACGAACACTTAAGGTAAAACATTGAAATTATAAGTGTGAGTACATTAAGATACAATAAAAAAGTGAGGCATAGTTGTTAAGACGTTAGAGTACACCTGGTATAAGTTAGTTATCAAGGTAATTTAAAAGCGAATTCGAAATCAGAATTTATGAGCCTGTTTACAATCATCTGCATAACAAAAGTATGTGACAGATAGTGCATGTTTCTGATACCTTGGTAAAAATGAATTGTAAATTTTCAAGTCAATTATTACAGTTTGATTGTTACTGATAGAGACAGGTACAAAGACCTTTACCGCTAAACTACGAATTATTCATGTACACATTAGTTATCTGTCACAATATATCGATACCTCGTTTGGCGATGTTGAACTACGAGGTTATTGGCACGGAGTGATGCCAATCCCTACCTTTGCGGTTTAATTGTATTAAGCTAAATATTTAGGCATTAGGGCACATAGACTAGATTCGAGTGTATATCATATTGGTTGTTCGTAAATTTGGAAACAAAAATGGAATAAATTTATTTGTTGACCATGTGTTAGAGGAACCAAAATGTTTCGCTAATTATAGCAGTGTCAGTTATCTTAACGAGTATAAAAAACATACAAAATGTATGTACATATAATTTCTACGTGAGTAAAAGCGCTAGGCATACCATTCAATGGAAATCACAATAAATAGACAACTATTTATCATTTTTAATGTTTCTAGTTAATGAATGCAAAAATTCATGAGCTCTAAAATTCACGGGGAGAAAACGATTTTCTGTTTAACAACATAAATAAGTTATCTTAACATATGATTCAGCGGATGGGAGGTGACCGGTAAAAATGATATCGAACCATAAGTCGTTTTTAAGGAAACGGACAAGGAATTGTGTGTGTTTTTCGATGAGTTATGTATGGGCGAACAATGATAAAACGAAAGTATATGATAGATGTATAGGACAGTACTGTCGTGACAGCTAAACGCGTCATTATTAGAATATAATACACCTTGACATGAATGACGATTTTTTATTCCAATACAATATAACTTCTAAGTTCCCAAACCATATGTAAGTTCTGCAGCGAACGTGGCGAAGTTATTCAGTAAAAAGAAGTGCGCGAGATAATAACAGAGAAATCTACTTGGATTCGTCATGTCATTCTCATGATCAAAGTAATTGGAAGAACCAATTCGTTTTAGGTAGTTATAACAGACTAAGTACCGTGAGAACCCCTTTAAATTATTTCGTTCGACAGTATTGTCAGCTCTTTATTCTTTCACCTTGTATTTTGTTTTCACTTTTACTCAAATGTTTTCAACCATATGCTTGTATTTCCTGGGTTTATTCATCCAGGCCTTCATTATTTAATTTTGTTGCTGTATGACGATTAGCCATTGTCAATAAGGTCTCGTTTGACTGAGATCAAGGTTACTGCGAGGAGAAGTTGATCATTGTTGCTCTCTGACTGTCTGGTCGTGATGCCATTTAAATGAGTGAAGGTAGAAATCTAATACCATCTTGTTAGAAATAGTTCTTTTGATTGCCAGAATGCTATTTCATGCTAAAAAAACACCTTTCAATGTATTTTGGGGACAGCATCGTAGAGAATCGTGTGAATTAGGCACAAACTACGTGTTTTCATATAACCATAGGAAGGAGTTATTCATAAAGCCTTCGTATACCACACAGAGGAACGTACTTTAGTATGATCAAATAAACTCTCGTCTGCTGGTTTGTTTATTGTATTCAGACCAAATATTTGTAGTTCGGTCGTAACAGTAGTGCAGTTTAGTGTTGTACTGTTTACGTAACAATCGATCAAAACACATGAATATGTAAAATAAAATGAAATCGTTTCCCAAAGAATTCTTTTTCCTCGCGTGCACACTGAAAGGATTCGTCAATGAATCTTCAGCACTAGACATTCTAATGCTAGGAGGGACTAGCTCGACATATCACTATTAATAAGGTTAAACAATTGATCTAGACTTAGACAGGGTAAGGTAGGAATAAAAATATTTTATGTGACGTACTAGGTCTAGTATATTATCAAATAATTTTTAAACCCTCTTGAAACCAACTTTATTATTGACAATCTGCCTTACTTTATTCCAAATTATTTTTTAAAATAAAAATCCTTCATTCGCAAGCCCATAAACCTTTGGTTCCTCTAAAACTAATCACTGTGAAGATAGGCGTCCAACATATTTTAATATCTTGACTTTTATTGGGTAATGTTTGGTTAAGAATGGACTAAGAATAAACGGACGTCATTCAGATGGTTAGAATGAAGAACAAATAAGCTACGGCTACTTGTGGAGTACTGGATATTCAGCGCCAAAAAGCAATAAGTGTGACGTCGCGAAGAGTAGTGTTACTGAGAGCTCACTTCGGGATTTTAGAAGAGAGGCTAAAAATCCATGGAGCGTATCTGGCACTTTCTGCTCACCGGACAGATAACCCTGGTCATAATGGTTTTCTCAATATAATACTTTTTCACAAATGTTTTACATTATGTCTGTTTGTTACTGACTGACGTTGCATATTATTGTATTTTGGTCTGTCTAATTGTGGTAAGCAGAAATATTTGAATCATTATAAGGACCAGGAACCTCCCAAATGTCGCAATTTGGGTCAGATAGAACTAGGTGGGCACAAATGAACGTACTGTATTTGGAATTCAGATACACATCAAGTACAAAAGAATCATTGGTTCAGCCGAACATAACGGTAGTACATTTCTGGATAGAATTTACGAAGCTTTTTCAGTTATGGCTGCTTTGTCTAGTCCTTCAGAATTATTTATTCCTACACAAATAGTTTATCAATTGAGATGGCCTTTCCTGAAAAATAACTTGACAAAAAATGAGTAAAAATATGTCTTTACAAGATTTTCAAACAGTCTGTTACCAATAAAGGTGGAAATATATTACTTTACATTCCACATTCAGTTGAAGTTAATTTCTAATTCGTGTTTCCTGCATATTGAACTGACACAGTTCATTTTACGGTTATGTGCGCTACTGAGTTGCTGTCAATGAAGGATTCAGTAAGCAAAGAAGATAATACAAAATCCAAAGCTCAGCTTAAAGCTGAAAGGAGGGCTATTCAAGTAAGATCCTAATAACTTCAACTATAATACAAGGAAGCTCAAAGAGCTGCGAAGGCTGCTTCTAAAGGTACTGACAAGCCAAAAGTCACGCAAACACCAAATGCCGCTCCTAGTAGTATGATAATAAATATTGGTCTCTAGTTTTAAATATTCTCAATACAGATGCACCAAATACTCACCCAAACCAGGACACAGGCATGGATAAACAAAAGACTATTTCCTCTGTGGATGAGAAAGCATGTATCGGTGTGGTGCAAAGTGAGACTAGCTGTATTTTCGTTATTTTCTCCACTCAGGTCAAAATAACCGCCTCGATTATTCCAGCCTTAAAATTGCCGAAGTTCCGAAGTCCAGAACACAGGAGTCCTGTCGCGTTCACCTCTTCAAGCATCTTGACCAACCAGACAAGCGAGTAAATGTTATCAGTTATCTTGGGTATGTAGATTTCCTTATGTACTTATCTTAGCATCTATGCGACAAAACTTTAGTCAGTCATGAACATCAGGTGCAGTTTTCATCTCAATGTCATTAGTGTTCTAAACTAGTTGAGTTGCGACTGCTATTCTCATTTTATCCATACTCTGCGGGTAGTCAACTTAGTTTATATGTACCCTTTAAAATTGAAGCAGCTTGGTTATGCTGCAGTTCCACTTCCTGGTAAACTCCTTAGACATGCTTGGTGACTCACTTATAGTAAAGAGGAAGTATTATGTTAGGTTTTCACTTTCACCTCTTTATTATTCCTCTCTGTAAATGTAGGTTATATTTATATCTAAGTAAAAATGTCTAGTACTTCACAGGCTAGTGATTTGGCAGAGTTTCGTTCTTACAATGTTGTTCATCTTGAGACTTATCCCCATTTATTGGTAATCACATGAAATCAAAGTATTCTGTTAAATAAAATGTAGCAGCTATTCCGTCTTTTCATGGTCTATGATGTGAAAAAAGTTCGTAGTTAGCTTTAAGACCTCTAAGTTTTGTTCAGTGCAGAAAGTCGTTTGCAAGTCTGAATATCATTCCTTCATTGACCCATAAGGCGGTGAGTTGTTTTCAGATTACTTGTATAACTACCATGTCTGAATCTATTTTAGTGGTTCGAATAATTAGAATTGGTGTAGAACTACTCGATTTCAATATTGAAATATTTCCAGCATGTGTACATCATAAAAGTATGAATTAGTGACTCAAAAATGTCCTTTAATATGACATCTAAACCTCTGAGGAGTATAGTCGAGTATTTTAGCTTTTGTTTCAGGGTCACTAGTACATGCTAACCTGATCAGTAAGTTGAAAAGTCAAACTTTGGCGACTGTTAGTTATATCAAATCAGTTTATTTCGTTTTAGTAAAGTTGATATATCTGAATAATGTTCACAAATTTTTACTAATGATCCCTAGGTGTTGTTTATTTCATGTTATTCGCTTGAGCTGAAGTATTTTATCAAAGTTGTCTCATTCACCCTATGCATTACCTTATTTTTCTTTATTCAGTTTAGGAACTCGTTCCTCAATCCATCCTTCATTCCTCACTCTGGGTGTCGATTTTGACGAAGATCGAATATGGGGCTCCAATGAGAAGTGTTTAGCATTTTTGTCGTCATGTGAAGAACTCATACGTTCATTCATTCCGAAGTCACCTACCGAAAGAATGAACAATCACACTGGAACAAATGATGCTCTGTTTTGCCGGAGTTTCGGACCAGTTTTGCAAGCTCATGTAAACTTTCTTCAGCTTTGTCGTCCATTATCTGTTACGATACATAATGCATATCAGTATCTGAAGCAGACACTTACTCGCCTAGATTCCGTGGAAGATTGGGATGAGGTATGATGTTTTATGATTGTATGTTATGCTCTTATAAATGTTTTTGGATTTCCTGGTTTGCTCCCCATTGTTAACATTAACTGTATCACTTTCCTCAATCTTTCGCTACGACAAAGAAACATGGACTATGTAATTAAAAGACATAAATAGGCCTGAAGTGTTTGGTCATAAATGTTTTCGAAACATCTCTCACTTATAGTAAAACCATCGAATTAGTAGTGCTGAGGTTAAGCCAGGGGACTAAGTGAAAGGCGAGTCCATTGTTGAGTTTATAAACTTACGTTGACCAACAATTAGCAAATATGTTATGGATGGCTAACTAACTTTTACCCCAGCCTTCAGTGTTAACTGTGATATGAGTGAGTTAAGAAAGATTTATTGGTGAGAAAACCGAGACGACATGATTTCTCTGGCTGATGGTTCGAGCTGTCATAAGTTCCAGACTTTTTGGCTGGGACTGATACAATAGTTGCAGCCAATATCATAAGACACTTGGTTATCTACCCCAAAACCAGTTACTGCTAGGGTTACATTTATTTTGTGTGTCCTTCCAAGTCATTAGTTTATTATCATCTTTAGCTTCAGTCTTTAGTATCATTTGTTTCTTTTCAGCTGTGTTCCTCGTGTTTAGAATTCCGCTGCTTTCGATATTATCTTCCATAGTGTTTTTTGTCTTGCTGCTTTCTCGCAGTGATGTAAGGTGCACCAACTTGGACCAATGCATACTCGTGCCAAGTTTGATATTCATAATAACTAACTGTGGATGACTTGCATCCATGATCACTCAATGACTGATTGAAGCACAAATAGTCAACACTGAAAAGTCAGACTTCCTTGGTCAATAATGTATAAGTTACTGAAACAACTTCACTTTTCTGTTCTGTACACTAGCCATAGTCCTTGACTTGCAGGCGATAGTTGGCGTTCTATAGAAGCCTCTTAACTGTGTCATTAAACAGCATATCTGGCCATAAAATCATACGTCTGCCAGACCTTTATGGTTGGTAATATTGGTCGTTCCGAAGGTGGTGGTAAGCTATCATGGGAAGTAACTACATCTAGTATTTTCAACGGGGTTATCACTGTTCGGTTAGTGTTTGACTAAAAACACCACTTTCTTTCATACAGATGTTCTTTAGTCGCTCTACGTCAAATAAGCAACATATTTCCATGAAATGAAACCTTTAACAAAAATCAGATGCCTGCTTTAGTAGTCTTGTTGCATAGTTGAGCCCTGGTTTTTAAATAATTGATGAGGTTTCTGCCCATACATATGTTTGTTCAATTTTTACTTATAGCGCAAGTGAAAAGTGTTCACGCTAATTAAAGAAGGAATGTATTACATAGTTTTCACTTTTTCGTAGCTAATGTAAAAAAGTCATTACAATTAGATGAGCTAATTTTATAGTTAGTGACAACACTATTCGAATTAACCAAAGTCACTGATGATTGTCTCAAGCTCGTATTACAAGGTTGAAACGACAATGTGTGAGTCAACGCCGAGTATATAAACCTGTTCTTGATAAGTAAGTTACATGCTTTTAAAATTACTCTGGGACTTATTTCGAACATAACTGAACAACAACATTAATAAGGACGTAACAACTTTACAGCATTATATCATTTCATATAACCAACGTCAATCTATTTTTGTATATTTAGTGCAGAGGCAGTTTTTTATCAGCCATCGTCGAATTTAGACGTGGTTCAATTTACTTGGCAGGAGATGAAATTGTAGATCGTACAGTTAATTTGATTCGTTCTGGTGAATGTGTTTGTATATTTGGATATTCATCCTTGGTAGCCCGTGTGCTGGAACGTGCATGGAAATCTCCATGCAACACATCTGTCAATCAAGTTGATGCAAATGTTGATTTTTTAGCGGACAAAATGAAAACATGTTTTGTAAACACGAAATCGGATCCATCAAATAAAACTACAAACAGAGTTTTTAGTGTTTTGGTTGTTGACTCTCGACCGAAATTTGAAGGTAGACAAATGCTAACCAGATTGTTGAAAGCAGGAATACCATGTGAATATACACATATTGGTGCATTGCCAAGTGTTGCAAATAAGGTATGAATAAGTTTACTTTTGGTAATAGTGTGTAAAAATGTTTTACTAACCCTAATAATTTTCACTTCTGTGTAATTAACATATACATGTGTAATGGATGAGTTTCAACACCCGAAATTACCAAGCTTTTACACTAAATACAAGCTTGTTACGTACTTTGAATAAATACATGAGTTAATCGTATTCAATCCGTTCACGTGTTCCTATCCGGTTCATATACTTTATCGCAAATGGTTGTTTAATACAGTCATATGATTTGACTGTCATCAAAGTGGGTACTCAAAAGTTAGGTATTATTATCGTCAGTTCACTCGAGGAAACAGAGACAGCAGAATATGCTTATAATACTACTCTGACTTAATTTCAGAAACTAGTGTTTTGGCGCAAACTAAGAATACAAATAATTACCACGGTACCAAATTCCTTGGAGTTCAATTCTCTCAAATAAGTTGTCTTCGCTAAACAGAAAACTGTTAATCAAGGTTCTTTATTTTTATGTTAGGAATTCTGGTAGTATATTTCCATTTCGCGTAAACTTTAGTATTATCATTTCGAGTAAAACACGGATTAAAACTGAGTTTTTTGTTGATGAGAAACCAGGTTAAAAATATACAGATATTGTAATGACTTACTCCCCAAACTGAGAAGTTATCGTCATATCAAAGTAAGAATTGCTGTAAACAGTGAAATAAACGAATTCTGTCATATACTGCTTCAGTAATAATAACTTTTGGTTGATTGCTTTCGGGGAGAAATGTTTTGGTGCATATTGAAACTCATTGTGGAAGTGCACCATTTTCTGTATGTCATTATAATATTCAGTAATCATGATGACTGGATTCTTCTACACTACTGTCTATTGCACAACTCATTGTAATATTGTGACAGCTAAAAGCTGACCTATAAGTTGTTTATCTACGTAGCTGGATGGAAAATTAATGATCACTGAGGTTGGATAATTAGAAGCAAATCAACTAATGAAGACAGGCGTGAACGGCGTTAAACCTGACTCGAGTGTATCAGTCCACAGTGTTGCACGTTACACTATTGACTGATGGAAAATTACATCAACACTAAGCGAATTAGATCAGAATGAGAAGTGTAGTATAACATCATTCAATACTCAAAAATATATAATGATAGTAGGATAGTACACATTCCAACTACCCCTGTCAACATAGGTTCAGAACCACATTAACTGATTTACCACCTTCATTCAAGATTTTTCTTAGTCATGTCTACATACCATATATTCCTCGATTACTCGTACGAGGATAAATTGTTGGAATACAATTTCTTATAAATTAAAGACATGTAGTGATACAACATACAATTTACTTACTTCTTACTTACTTCCGCCTGTTACTCCCAATGGAGCATAGGCCGCTGACTAGCATTCTCCAACCCACTCTGTCCTGGGCCTTCTTTTCTAGTTCCATCCAATTCTTGTTCATTTTTCTCATGTCTATCTCCATTTCTCGGCGTAATGTGTCCTTTGGTCTTCCTCTTTTCCTTTCGCCTTGAGGATTCCATGTGAGGGCTTGTCTTGTAACGCAGTTGGGTGCTTTCCTCAATGTGTGTCCTATCCACTTCCAGCGCTTCTTCCTGATTTCTTCCTCCGCTGGGATCTGGTTTGTTCTCTCCCACTGTACGTTGTTGCTAATAGTGTCCGGCCAATGGATCTGAAGTATTTTGCGTAGACAATTGTTAATAAACACCTGTATTTTCTGGATGATGGCTTTCGTAGTTCCCCAGGTTTCTGCCCCATACAGTAGAACTGTCTTGACATTTGTATTGAAAGTTCTGACCTTGGTGTTGGTTGACAGTTGCTTTGAGTTCCAGATGTTCCTCAGTTGTAAATATGCTGCTCTTGCTTTGCCGATCCGTGCCTTCACATCTGCATCAGATCCACCGTGTTCATCAATGATGCTGCCCAAATACGTAAAGGTTTTTACATCTTCCAAATCTTCTCCGTCAATTGTGATTGGATTGGTGCATTCTGTGTTGTATCGGAGAATCCTGCTTTTCCCTTTGTGTATATTGAGACCTACTGCTGCTGAGGCTGCTGTCACACTGTTCGTCTTCTCCTGCATCTGTTGTTGCGTTTGTGATAGAAGGGCCAGATCGTCTGCGAAGTCTAGATCATCCAACTGCATCTTAGATGTCCATTGTATCCCGCGCTTCCCTTCAGACGTTGACGTCTTCATGATCCAGTCGATCACCAGGAGAAAGAGAAAGGGTGAGAGTAAGCAACCTTGCCTAACACCGGTCTTCACTTTGAACGACTTTGTCAACTGTCCTCCATGCACAATTTTGCAGTGTAATCCATCACAGAAATTCCGTATGATATTGACTATCTTGAGGCACTCCGTAGTGTCGAAGAGGTTTCCATAGTGTTGTTCTGTCCCTGCTATCAAATGCTTCTTCGTAGTCAATGAAGTTGATGTAGAGTGATGAATTCCATTCAATTGATTGTTCCACAATGATCCGTAGTGTTGCAATTTGGTGTGTACACGATCTATCCTTACGGAATCCTGCCTGTTGGTCACGAAGTTGGGCGTCTACGCAGTCCTTCATCCTGTTTAACAATACCCTGTTGAAGACTTTTCCCGGTATTGAGAGAAGAGTGATGCCCCTGTAGTTATCACAGTTGCTGAGATCGCCTTTCTTCGGTATTTTGATCAGAAGTCCTTCTTTCCAGTCTTTTGGTACTTGTTCCTCATCCCAAATCTTATTGAAGAGAATGTGGAGTATCCTTGCAGTTGCCGCTACGTCTGCTTTTAGTGCCTCTGCTGAGATGTTGTCCTGTCCTGCTGCTTTGCCACTCTTGATTTGTCTGATGGCCATGCTGATTTCTTCGATTGTTGGTGGGCCAACATCGATTGGGATGTCCGTGGGTGCTGCTTCGATGTTGGGTGGGTTCAGTGGAGCTGGTCGATTCTAGAGTTCTTCGAAGTGTTCTACCCACCTGTTTTGTTGCTCTTGAATGTTGGTGATCACCTCGCCTTCCTTGCTTTTCACTGGTCGTTCTGATTTGCGGCGATTTCCAGAGAGTTTCTTTGTCGTGTCACACAATTGTCTCATGTTTCCTTCTCTTGCAGCCTTTTCCGCCGCCGTTGCTAAATCTTCCACATATTTACGTTTGTCGGTTCTGATGCTCCTCTTCACTTGTTTGTTTACTTCTGTGTATTCAGCTTGTGCCTTGGCTTTTTCTGCTCTTGTTCGACTGGTATTGATTGCTGCCTTCTTGTTCCTCCTTTCTTGAATCTTATCCAGTGTATCGGCAGTGATCCATTCCTTGTGATGGTGCTTCTTGTGACCCAGGACCTCATGAAATGTTGAAGTGATTGCCTCTTTGATCCTTTCCAGTTGCTCTCCATAGTAGTTCCTTCTCCATTGAGTAGATCATGAAAGGCCTGGGACTTGTTGCTGAGGACTATCTTGAATTTGTTGAGTTTGTTAGTATCCTGAAGAAAGGCCGTATTGAACTTTTGTGATATTGTCCGCCCCGTTGTCCAGTGTTTCTTGAGTTCCAACTTCATCTTGGCGACCAGCAAGTGATGATCTGATGCTATATCAGCTCCTCTCTTGGTTCTCACGTCCTCTATAGTCCTCCTGAACGTTTTGTTGATGCAAATATGGTCGATTTGGTTTTGTGTAGAGTGATCCGGTGAAGTCCATGTGGTTTTGTGTATGCGTTTATGTGGGAATATGGTGCCGCCTATGACCAGCTTATTGAAGGCACATAGATTTGCAAATCTCTCACCATTTTCGTTTCTTTCTCCAAGTCCGTGTCGTCCCATGATGTCTTCATATCCAGTGTTGTCCGTTCCAACCTTGGCATTGAAATCTCCCATCAGAATGGTCAGGTCCTTTGTTGGGCACTTCTCGATGATTGACTGCAGCCTATTGTAGAATTGATCTTTAGCGTCTTCATTGTAGTCGTTGGTAGGCGCATAGCATTGGATGATGTTCATTGAAATACCCTCTTTCTTTGTTTTGAAGGAGGCTTTGATGATCCTTGGTCCATGAGATTCCCGTCCTATAAGTGCATTTTGCGCTTGTTTGGACAGCATCAATGCAACTCCTTGTGTATGTGGTGCATTTTCTTCTTCATGGCCGGAGTATAACAGGAGCTCTCATGTAGTTAGTCGTTGTTGTCCAACTTGTGTCCAATGTGTTTCACTGATCCCAAGTACCTCTAGGTTGTATCTTCTCATTTCTGCAGCAATCTGGAAGGCTCTCCCGGTGTCCCACATTGTACGAACATTCCATGTACCTAAATAAATAGTCGCTCTGGTTGTCAGAAGGGGCATTGGCCTCGTAATTTCCGAAGGGATTCGGCTTTCATCATGAGGCGTCATAATTCTTCTAAATGAAGACCTTCTGACTCCCAGGGCAGAGTTTAAAAGGTTTGAATAATTTTTTCTGGTTAGCTTTATTTTAGCGAGTTAGTTTTCTACGGGATGAAGACACTAACCCCATGCCCAACCCTCCTCCTTTATCCGGGCTTGGGACCGGCAGTAGCCCCCAGAGGGACTCCAGGCGGAGTTAACATACAATTTAGATTTAAATTATTACTAAATATTCCGTAAAAAATGGTTTCACTGGTTAATTTCTTGTCGAGAGGTCTCATTATTTGTTGATAAAGCACTTACATGGCATAGCTTTTGTTACACAATCTAGGTCTATCCTCTGGTACACAAAATGAATTAAGATTACCATACCATACTGAAGTAAATCTCGACTAAAATTCATTTGTGTATGGTAAATTTATCTCAGGTTGATCTTTAATATACTGTCCTACTTTTAACAACGCTTGTTGGATTATTCTAATATGATTGAAAATCAAATTTCTTCGTTGCAAGATATGTCTTGTGTTTCTGGTTTTCATTCGTTAACAGTGTAACATTCGCTTTCAAACTAAGTGTTGATTACTTTTTATTTATTTTGATTTGAAATATAGATATCTCTAGTTATTCTGGGCGCCCATGCTCTTCTTAGCAATGGCTACGTACTAGGTCGTATGGGGAGCGCTCAAGTAGCCAACATTGCAGCCTCTATTTCTCATGCTCCAACAATAGTCTGTGCTGAAACTTACAAATTTTGGGAGCGCGCCCATTCTGATGCATTCGAGTATAACGAACTTGGAGATCCTGACGACATTTGGCGAGGTCCACGAGGTACATCACCAGACTATAAAAAGGGCATTCCTGGTTTCGGTCCAACTGGACTTCCAGATAGAATTGAATCTTCTACAACTGATTTGAGTGAATGGCGTTCAAATTATAGTCTTAGACTGTTACATTTAGAATATGATGTGTTACCGCCTACATTGGTTACAGCTGTAGTAACTGAAAAGGGCACCTTACCTACAACCTCTGTTCCTGTAGTCCTGCGAGTAAAACAAGCTTCTATAGCCAATGTGTAATTTTTTTATTTTCTACATTTTGTAAAAGTTTACTTATTTGTTGTTATGATTTGGTATTGTAGGTGTATTGAAATGCAATAAACGCACAGTATTAACTCTCACTATTTTGCTATAATTCGACTAGCGATTATACTCGGTTGTTCGGACCAAATTTAGTAAATATTTAAGGTTTAGGTTAAATATTGGTTAACTGAATTAATCCTTTTTACGCATTGCACAGCGAAGAGGTAACCGGTAGGTTTTTTCATTCCTAACTACATTGTTTAAACTCTTAGAAGTGATTTCATCAGATGTCCGTTAATTAAAAAGCTGCAACATTTGCATCAAGATAATTGATTTTAAGCCAGTAGTTAGGTTATCCTAGCAGGCTATATTATCTCCAACACTTACTCCTTAAGTTTCTACTATCCCTGGCAAGTCGGTTAAAGAACAAACGAAGAAAATCTCAGACTACATGACTGAATCATACTGTGGAGGATACCTGACTGTATTGATATTATTTTTTTAAACAAACAATTAAGGTTTTTAGCGAGTCTATTTTTTCTATAAAAGAATGAAAGGTTGAAAAAAAGACTACAGGTATAACATTGAGTTGAAAGACAAAACTTTAACTTGTGTACTTAATTGCAATTAATAGTTATTTGTTATCTGTTCGGTCGAATGGCGCCGTAAAAGATCGAGGGGAGTACTGTCATTTGTTATTTCCTAAGGCGCTTTCACTAATTACAGTTGAACCAAAGTAATACGAGGATTCTTCCTAAAATTCGCCTGCACATGCGTTTGTAGAAATTGTTATAAGCTACCTTATTGCAAGTTGACTAAACTGTGCAGGAATACACTGAAGTATAAACTAAGGTATTCCAAACCAGTGAAAACTAACTTCTGTTACCCGTATGTTCCTAAAAAATGCTAAATTTAGACAAGAGCAATTTAACGTGACAAGCACACAGACCTTAAACAGTGGGTTTGTTCTTTAACTTAATGGCGATATTCAGATTTGTTCACCGAGCGATTTCTTGACAATTACTATCATTCGAATATGCATTGAGGACGCTCATTCTCTTTTGTTTTACTCAACCTAGCCTCTGATTTGTTTTGGGAGTAGTATTCCCATCACTCAATCTTTCATGAATTTGTTCTTCACCATGTGACTTTCTGTGCACACAGAAAGCTTCATCGTTTCTGTTAGTGATGTTGTCGTAAGCTACAAGTATTTGACCGTAGGCACATTCAGTGTATTGCTCTCATGGTGAAACCATAGTTTTGATATCCTAAGGTTACACATAGGGTACTAGGTAAAGTTGGTTGATGTTTCGAACTTTCGTTGACTGATAACGCTAGGGCATTTATTACGTATCCCAGGTCATGGCCTACCAATACACCATGTCGACTGGTCATAGAAGCTGTATGTTCATTCCCATTTCCTCGTAAAGCTGAGGATATCTTAGAAAAACTGAAGCTGTTATCTGTTTCTTGACAAATTTTAATGATCATCCCTATGGATGATAACAAATTAGGAGTAGAGGTTACTCCTGTCTGAAATGTGGTCGTTTTACCGGTAGATTGAAGAGGCTGGGATTAATTTTTCTCAGTCTTTGTAGTAGTTGTTTCAATACAACACTTGAGAGTACTATATATTGGCTCATGTAAACTGAGAACAATTACGCTAATTGTAATCATATAAACCATCCATTCATCCTGTTCGCGGCCATCGTAAAGCTCTAGCTTGGTGGTTTAATTACTCGATTTCCCTTCTAATTGTGCTTTGGTTTGAGTGGTTGGGTTGACCGAATTCTAGTAACTTGCCATTCAAGGTTGTAGCAGTAGCATAGATTCTAGTTTAATGATATCCTCTTATAGTTGTCATGCTTATCCATCACTATTTTTCTCATTTGCTTAAAAGATTTTACCATTTGTGGAGAGTCGTATGATTTTGTTCTGCGTTCAATTCTCTGCTGTATATATAAAGATCATAGGGTGCCTTGTTCAGCTCAAAGAAACGATATTGCGAAACAGACCTAGATTATTTATTGCGCCTACATATTTTAGATGTTATCAAGTGAAAATTAATATAAAAAATAACGTAAAACACCATAGTAGTTCGTTGATCATGCTACAAGATATATTTATTCTCACAAATTAACCGTAAAATATCAAATTAAGCAAAGCTTCTGACACCTATCAAACAAGCGTTCACTTTCCTCAAATGCTTTCACACGTTACATGGCATAAATTGTCAAATTGGTCTAATGGTAAGAGATCACATCACCCCCAAGTTTCACCAATCAATAGTACATATTGTTCTAAAAGTTGTTTTGGAGAGAGTGTAGGACGGGATTTACTATGCGAATTTCTATTATAAGTTTACTTTTCCAAAGACGGGTAGCAACTTTGTTTAAGCTGTTCAATCATACTAATATCTTAACTACTTAGTATGTTTGTTAGTAACTTGAGTAATTTGACTTAAAATATGTTTCATTTTGGTGGGGGCAGAAATGACGAGATCCAAGTCGACGAAGCTTCATGACGAAACCGGGTAATTTGATATTTCCAATTAGAGATCACTGCCTACACCAAGACTATTCTCTTTTTGGATAAGCCATACTCCAGCGCCTCGTCCAAGACAATGTGGTCAAACGCTTTTTTACAATCTAGTTGTAAGGCCGGATCTTTCTCTACCTATGTCGATTCCAGCAGACGCGTTTTCGCGAAAATCGTCAGGCCCCAAGGTATAGGCTTGTATATGATGGGTGACTTGCATTAAATTAAATACGCTCTGATTGACCATTTCAATCGTAATCCTCTGAATAGAAAAATAGAACACAGTTACTGAGCTAAGTGATTTATAGTTATGGTTAAGATAAATTAGTTGATTCACATCAATCAATGAGAAATTTTAGTTCATATCTGATTATTGACAAGTTCCAACAGAAAATCTTATTCGTCATACTATCCAATAACTAGATCGAATATCTTTGCTAAAAACAGTCTATGAAAGTATCTTGGATTCCGGAACACTGATTACTGTTCATCAAAATGTTAGTGTATTTAGTCTAATCCAATAGTGCATCAATCGTATTACTCATAATTCAGAAAAAGTAACTTTGACTAGTATATGTTACATGATCTAAATTTTTGAAAGAGTATAGTTTTCGTCGGCATTCCAAGTATCTCCGATTTCGGGACAAAGTAACGCACAAGTGTTTATTGATTGCCATCTATTACAAATACTGATTGTAACCATTTATATTGTCAGTTTAACAGTCTGATATTAATAAACATGAATCTTGAAGCGCTTCACTTAAAACAGCGATGGGCATAATGTAAATTGTCACAAAGATTGGGAGCTCTGTAAATTTCTATAATCCTTTCTTTAGACGCATCAAAATAGACAAGTATGAAAATGTATTCTTGTATTAATCATGGACAAAAAAGGAAGATAGTTAACTTCAATTGAAGGAAAATGAGAGAAAAATTTCATCAATTTTATTAATAATCGACAGATGGTGATTTTATCTATCAACCAAGGTAAATAACAGACTTATTTTCTAACTCTTCGTGTTATTTGTTCTCTCAAAATAGAGTTTGTTCTTGTTTGCAGTAGTTGTAGCAATAGTAATAATGATAACAGTGATAATATATTTGATGTTTACGCCAATCCATTACCAGGTGGTCAATTTAATAAATCGAATTCAAGTATTCCTTCACTCTCTTTCTAACCTTTACCACCCCACCTTCCGCCACTTAACTCGTAGATATACAAGTTGACTACTAAGATGAACACTACTACTAATCTCAAACTTATATAAATTATGATTATTAACTTTTTTTTGATTATCATTTGATTTACTATCTCATGTATTTACATACTGCTTCATTTCTTTCAGGTAAATGTTCGTATTTATTCGAAGAAATGCATATATAGATAACTGAACAGATATACTCCTGTGAACAGGAGAATCGGTGTATCTTCTCTACTAGCATGAATACTTAAGATGATCAGGAAGCAGTGTGTTTAAAAAATAAACATAACCTGAGCTCATATATTCAGTTGGTTGTAGACTCCAGGAAGATAAGGCAGTTATCCAGTGCTCAGTTGTTTTCGACAGTTTTGAAGTGATATCGGTCTATGCTGAAGATTAACTTAACTTCAAACTGAGCAATATCCGAAAACACCTCACTCAAATAATTTTAATTATTTGCTCTCTACTGACTAGTTTAAATACGAATTCCTGATATTCAAATGAGAAACAATAACTGATGACGTTAAAGTACATCTAAAGTATGATAGATGTCACTGACTTTACTACATGATTGTTGCACAGTATGACAACTTAACTGAACTTTTAAATGTAAGTTATCTAATTCCGACTTAAGGGTCTAGGTTTATTCTGATAGCCATGAGAACTGAAAATTCTTCGCTAATTCAAGTGAGGCGTAATAGGTGCTCATTATTAACCGAATACCTTCGGCTTTTAATTAGATTAACTTCCACATTCTAGTTTAGATTTCGCATTATCTGGTAAATGTTAGACCATAAGTCTTTTAGTTGTAAAGTATTTTGGAGATTTATATGTACAGGATACATGGGACAAAGGAACCTAATTATATGTGATGAGTTTGAAACACAATTGATCTGTGAGGATTTAGTACTCTATCGTATTGTAGTACCACGTAAAACTGGATTTTAGCCTTGTAAAGAAATATACATCTAGTCAGTGAGTTACATCTTGCTTTATGGAAAATCAATAAAGCTTGGGATTAGTCACTTGTTATTCAAAATGTTAGTTATCCATTTAAAAGAAAACTAACATCAAATTAAAGTGTTTCTGCCAATATTGGTAATCTAAAAACAGGTCAAGATAGAAATCTATATGATTATATTGCTTGAAGAAATTGTGAATAATTCTCATTTTTACTATTCAATTGTAATATTACAAAAAATGTTATTTATGTATGATGTTCGTGTTGATATTCATTCAAAATAAATTTTTAAACAT